AGTTCTAACCAGCACAGCCTTTTGAAGTTCCAAGTCAGGACAGAAAAGGCACAGAAGCTTCTCTCTCTTCTCTCTATCAACATTATTTTAAAAGAAAAGGGGTGGCATTTATTTCTATTTAATTTTCAGGTAGGGTATACCAGTCAAAGCAAGCAAATTTCTAATTCATGATTATCTAGCAGGAAATGATTAAATTTCACAAGCTGGAGATGGGGGGAGGGGGTGACACTACAACAACCACACTACCTTACCGTGCCAGATGACTGGATTTGCCCCAGCCAGAGCTCTAGAATCCTGTAATAAATCCTGATTATTTTGCAGCTCTGAACTCTTCATTTGCAATCACGTTGTTAATCTCAGCTACAGTACCCCAGACATTTGACCACTTTTCCCAAACTTGTCTTAATACAAAAAAAAAAAATCTGTATTTGATTCAATAATGTGAAATACAAGAATCAAGAACAATCAGGACAGAAATAGTCTATCTCCTCAACTTTCAGAACTTACTAGCTCAAACAACCATGTTTAATAACATCACCAAAAAACCTTCTCTGCCCTCAAATCAACTGTCACCTGCCTCAAGTAACTAGAGATCCAAAAGTTCCCTTTTGCATGCAGCATTCACTTCTACTCCATCCAGTTTAGACCTCAGTTCTTAATGGAAATATATTTTTAAGTACGAAGCAAAAATAACCTAGTGGTCAAAAATAATTTCCTTAAAAAACATTCATTAAATGGTCTCAGTTCTTGTTACCTTTTTTTCCAAAAAGTAAAGGGTTCTCTAGTCTTCCATAGATATTTGCAATTTCCTTCTTTATTGCATGACTTAATGTGAAATAGCAGAAAATAAAGAGGAAAACTGAAAAATGAGCAAAATAATTTTCAGTTTCAGGCTTTTTTTTGTTGTTTTTTTCTCCCTAGTTTGCAATTATTTAAGACAACTACGATTTTGTACACATTTGAACTTAATAAACTCTGCCTTGCAAAAAGGAAGTCTACAACAGTTTTGGCTTTCCTGTACTGTAAAGACTTCCCCAAGAACAGCAAGAATGTTTTTGGTTACCAGGTAGGACAGTATATTCTTTCACAAATGGCAATTATACAGTTAATTTTATTCCTCTGGCAGGAAAAAAAAAGCATACTCGGAGCTGTACCTTTCTCATACATGGCTACATGCTAAAATCTAACCCAGTCACATCACATTTACTCCCCTAAAAATGGCAAGCTATCAAGGACTTGCCCTCACAGCAGCAACTCAAATCCTGACCTGACTATGTAAGTCTTTTCAGTCTTCATACACCCCTATGAGCAGCTGTAGCATGCAATAATAGTTGAATGTTTTTTTCTGTGTGGTTCAAAGATAATCCTTTAAGAAGCTGCATTGCACTGTGTTAATAAATAGTTCTTCCACAAAAGATCCACTTAATGGTGTTTTCCCCTGATGAAAACAAGCAGGTACATACTGATCTTCTGTTCCAAAAAACTTCACAAAGAAGCACTTTTTTCCACGAGGTTTCTTCAGATCTTTAGGTGGATTAACAATCTGAAGGTGATTAGAAGTGAAAGTTAAAAAGCACATAATGATAGATTTATACTCTGTGATTCTACTGTCCTGTCTTACAGCTATTGTAGATTTTTTTTTTTAATCTGACTAGGAAGAGAACTGGAATCTGCTATAACTTTTTCAAGTAAATATGTAACTCAAGTATTTCCTTGGACATGGGAATGTTGCAGCAGAGACTGCATTCCGAGTGGAGTTTTCTACTCCCCAGCCCCAATAGATAAGCTGGTCACCTTTTGTAAAATTAAAGACAAAGGCACGAATAAAAGTTTGCTCCACTCACGTAACCTTTGAAATTTAAATTTAAACTTTGTCTTTCCTCCCAGAATACATTCCCAGAATACATTGCTTATCAAGTTTAAAATATTAGTAAAGAGAAAAGCTGTCATTCAGTTACACAGGTGACACCTGTAGAGGAATCTGGTGTTAACTTGATCCAGTAACCAAACGTTTATGACTGTCAGCCAAATTGACAAGCTTTTTCCCAGACTCATGCTGTTACCTCAGCATGCCTAGCCCTCACACTGACACCAAAAATATAAGAAAGTTCTTTCAGAGAAGTAGAAATAATAGAAATGGTACATAACATTCAATTATTTTTAATCTTTCACCAGAAAAAAACCCAGCTTAACCAAAAGAGAAAGTTTAACTACTCACTACCCCCAGAATTAGTACTCAAAAATCATAGCTCTAACAGTATCTTGAGAAGCCAGACTCCTAATTTCTATTATTAAACACAGTATAGTTAACCAACTTACTATGGAAGGAAAAAAACCAGTCTTACAGAAAGTGACAGTGATTAAATAACTAAATCTGGGAAACACAATCAGTTCTAGAGCTCCAGAGCTGGCTCTCTGTCGCTTTTTATTCCATCTGAATTACCAGCTGTTAGTGACAGGCTGAACTTCTAGATCAAATAAAGCCTGGTTCAAAGTTTAGATTTGTGGGGTGTGTGATTAAAAAACAAATAAATAAGAAAACCAGCATTAATCAACAACTGAAATGCCTTCAGGCAAAGCTTTCCCTACACTGAAGGAAAATGCAAAAGCAAGCAAACAAATAAAAACCACCAAAAACTAAGAAAGCAACAATAAAAACAAACAAACCTCACCTTTCCTGGCCATGGAGGATAACGACCCAGCTTCCCCCTAGATAAAAAAGAAAGTATTAGGCACTAGAACTAGACAAAAAACCTATTCCAGTATCTGCCTTTTCACATTATCTCATACTTTATATATTAGGAGTTACAACTTGCAGTCAAAACCTTCTGTGCAAGGCAGGACACAAGACTGACATATGCACCTAATGCAGGCTCTGAACAGTCTGACCTCACTTCACTGTCAGAACTGAAGAGAAGAGCAGCAGCACAGCTGCTGCCTGCAACACACAAGAGTAACAGGAACTGCAGCACTCTAAGAGTGGAGATTCCTTCACAAGGAGCTGGATAAAAGCACTGATGCATGCAATCAGAGCAAAGTTCAGGTTGGGAACTTCTATCCACCTGTCCAGAGCAGTCTGTGAGCAGAGCAGCCATTGACTCCCAGCTCAGAGAGCTGAGGTTCTGCGTTCTCACAGGATTCTCCCAGCAGGTGTTCCACTACCACCTTCTTCAGGTGCTCACCACCACAGTGAAATGTGCTAAAGATATGAAGAGCCATTAAAAAAAAGCACAAAAGTTTCCTTCCTACATTTCCAAAGGTCTCCATTACGAAAACTAGACAATACTAAAAATACTTACAGAGAAGGAAGATACATCAGTCTTAGCACGGCAGCTTTATCCTCATTTCACCCTTGTCACTAACTCGGGCTGCAGTGCTCACAAAACCTCGTCAGTCACTGTCTTGCAAGAGACTGGCAAAGAACCTGTGGGGCCCTGACACAAAACCTCTCAGCCAGTGGCACAGCAGCCCCTCGAGATGGACTCAGCAACCACAGGCAGGCAGGAGTGCTGCCAGGAACCGTGATCGTGTCTCACACACTCTTGTACCAAATGAGACATCCAGCAAACCCTTTCTGCTGCTGCTGTCTGATTGTTAAAGTTCCCTGTGACAGTTCCAGGGACAGCACCTGCCTGGGCTGCCATGTACAAAACTAAAGCAGGATAGTCTGCATTCCAACACTAACAGCAGTCACTCCTCAAATTCTCATCTGAAAAAAGGAGATTTGCTAAAAGTAAGCAATCTTTACTTACTTTGCCATACAAATTAGACAACTTCCCAGCACTGCCAGTTTTTCAGATGAGAAGCTGCAGTTGTCACAGCCTGGGATATAAATACAGATGCATGCACTTGTGTGTTGGGAATTAACTACTTCTTGGAGCCCTGGTAGGACAACCTGGCCCATTCAGCACAGCAGAGCCACTTAATCATGGAATGCTCAGGTCTCCCGACCAGGAAACAAAAAGATCACAGATCTGACAGTCTGAGAGTAAGATCGGAGTGAAAAGGGGAAATGGCTTCCGGGGGCTCCCACGGGGACACCCCAACCTACAAAGAAACGCTGTTTTCCAGGATATTGTTGTGTTGGTTCATTAAAGCACTGCCAAGAAACGGTGTCATGGTTCTCCCGAAACACCTCCTGACTAACCCCTGTTCCTTCTCGCCTCCCTTGGGAGGTGAGCCCGTGCTTCCGACCGAGCCTCGCAGCGATCGCCCCTCCGTTCCGCTCCCCTCACCCCTCTATCCTACACAGCTTCCTTCCTCCATGCGACGTCCCCGGCAGCCTTCGGCGCCGGCCCAGCCCAGTCCGGTGTTCCCGGGCCGCCTCCCGCCGCCCCTTTGAGACACCGGCCGCGGGACGGCGCCCGGCGACACCGGGACCGCAGCGGCCCCACCGCTCAGCCTCCAGCCCGCCCTGTCGGCAGCGTTTCCCGGAGGTCCCCCGCGGCGCCGGCTGACGGCGCCCAGGGCGCCCGGCCCAACCTCCGGGCGCGCCGTCTCCGGGCCGGCACAGCCCCGCCGCGCCCGCTGCGTCTCCTCCGCCGCCCCCCTGCGTCTCCTCCGCCGCCGCAGCAGCCTCATCCGCGAAAGGTGCCCATCCCGCCCGCCTCGGTGCTCGCCGCGCGGGCAACGCGCCCGGACGGGCCGGGCCGCCACTCACACACCAGATCTCCGAGCTCAGACTCAACGGCCCGCCATCTTACCGGACACCGCCGGGCGCGCGGGTGCTGCCGGGACGCGGGGACCGCGCCATTGGGCGGGGCGTCACGTGGGCGGCGGGCCGTCTAACGTGGGCCGGGCGGGCCGTACGTGGGCGGTGCGGGCCGTCACGTGGGAGGGGCGAGCTGTCACGTCGGGAGGGCGAGCTGTCACGTGGGCGGGCGGGCTGTCAGTGGCGGCCGCCTCCCCAGCGTGAACGGCGGCGGCATCGCCCACTGCCTTGCGGGGCGAGGCCTAACTCAGCCCCTCCCTGGGGCGGGGCCTAATTTGGCTCCCCCCAGGAGGCAGAGCTTACTCGGCTCTTCCCTCCTCCGTCGGCCCAGAGCCCGGAGTGCGGCGCGGGAACTAATGTTACCGATTCGGATCCCGATCCCGAAAAGCGGCAGAAACAAACTTCTTAACACCGATTCGTAGATGTTGAAAAGGGCATTCTTCTTTATTCAGCGCACTGGACGTTCGGAGGATAGCCCTCTAATCGAACGCGCCAAATGGCAGATGGACAGGACTTTTTATTACACGTACTGTTTGATTATTCATTAGATATTCTCGCTTACTTAATACGTATTTATTAGTTTGCTTTACATGGTCGCACCCCTATTGGAAGTCCTTCTTTGGTCTTTCCGGGTCGTCTTCGTCATCTTGACCCCAGTCCTTGAGCAGGCACAGCGTCGTTGTGCTTTGCCAGCAAATGCTGTAACGTTTGTTCTTTATTTTATCTGGGTACACGGAGCTTAGTTTACATCCTGTTTGTTTGCATCTCTTATCGAATTCTCAGGGACTTCTCTAAGATTGTATTGTTCCTTATGTGGGCATTCCGGGATACCGTGAGTAAAGTTTCTATTTCTTTGACAGGAGAATTCGCCTTGAGGAGCAATAACCGGAGGGTTCCGCTGCCGCCCCTCCTGGGGATTGGCACCAGGGGCATCTGTGCCCCGCACCCGTATCGCCTGCTGACCCCCGGAGGACCGCTCCGGGAGACAACGGGTTTGGAATATGGTTTGTACTCGCTCTGCTGTGGGAGCAGTGGGAGACGCCGTCTGTGGTCGACTGTGGTGGAGCTGCATCGGTTTTCCCGGATGACTTGCTGTGTGTTGTGGTGGTGGCTTTTCTTTCTGCCCACCTAAGTAAGCCAATTTCACATTTTTTCCAAGCGTTCTTGCTGCCTCTTCTGCCCTGTGCACCCACAGAAACCTGAGTTGGTAGGTGCCTCAGAGGGGCCTTAAAGAGCTTGATCCCTGTGCTGCACGGCCCTGGGTGCAAGCTCCCCACTCTCCACCCTGTAATGAGTGATTTAACTGCTCTGCTTTTCCCCCCAAATCTGGGTGGATTGAGGACAAGTATCTTAAGTGGTGTTTCTCAACTTAATCGGGGCATCCTGTTTGTTCCTACCCCCCCTGTACTTTTTTAAGAGGTGCACCATATTAGTCTTGTTTTAAGAGCATTAACTGCCTTTAAAATGTGTGTTTTATTTGTTTTGTGTGTAGCACATGCGCACACACCCCTTTATCTCCACACATTGATCTTGGCTGTTGGCAAAACCCACTTCATATCCCAATGCCTTCAATAAAGGACTCTGCAGCAATGCTGGAATTGGTGTGGTTCCTTTAAGATATGATATGAGTTTAAAAAGAAAAATAAAACTCTGCTGTCAGATTTAATTTACTAGGGGCTGATATAGCTGGACCCACGCAGTTTCTACTCCTTAACTCTGCTCCTTAAACTCTAGTCATTAAAAGTGCAGCCAGAGCAGTCCTTGCTCGGGGGACTTTTCTCATCCCAGGAATGGAGTTCCATGCCTGAATGCTGCTCACAGCCCAGGCTCTGACTCTGACTGATGCCAAAAAATCAGAAAAGAAACTATAGGTTCGTTTTGAGTATAGAAAGCCAAAAAAGCACACATGTTTATTTCAGTGCTGGCTGCATCAGAAAAAAATTCCTAAGGGTGCACCCTGAACCACACAGCTTTCATAACTTTATACAACTCTCTAATTACACATTCAAGGATTACCTCACCTGTTCCACCCCATTTTCCACCCACCGTACGCCCCCCTGGAATTGCTTCAGAGGTCGTAAAGTGGCCCCTGGTGCCAGGCATCAACATCTTTCTTGCTACGTTCTTCTCTTGACTCCTAGATTTCCTGCCTTCTGGAACTGGCTCAAGGCCTAAACCCAGTCTCGTGGATCTGTTTTGTCTTCTTTCTCGCATTTTATCCGTCCCTTCACAGGTGCAAGAACTGTCTCTGTTTTTATCACAATTCTTGCTTGTAAAGAATCGAGTGCTGTGTCCAGTTCTGAACCCCTCAATTTAGGAAGGACACTGAGGTGCTGGAGCAGGTCCAAAGAAGGGCAACAAGGCTGATGAAGGGACTGGAGCATAAGTCCTATGAGGAGAGGCTGAGGGAGTTGGAGTTGTTCAGCCTGGAGCAGAGGAGGCTCAGGGAGACCTTGTTGCTCTCTACAACTCCCTGGCAGGAAGGTGGAGCCAGGTGGGGATCAGTTTCTTCTCCCAGGCAACCAGCAGTAGGACAAGAAGGCATAGTCCAGGGGAGATTTAGGTTGAACATTAGGAAGAAATTTTTTACAGAGAGAGTGATCAGACATTGGAATGGGCTGCCAAGGGAAGTGGTGAATTCACCGTCTCTGGAGGTTTTTAAGATGAGACTGGATGTGGCACTTAGTGCCATGGTCTAGTAGGCAAGGTGATGTTGGGTCAAAGGTTGGACTTGATGATCTCACAGGTCTTTTCCAACCCGTTTGATTCTGTGATTCACAAAAAACTATAAACTATGCACTTTCCCTTGAGAACTTCCAACCTTACTAAAACACATGAGTTCTACGGCTAGCACCCTCCTTTTAAAATGCTTAGTCTAAGACACATAAATTCTATGGCTATCAGTTTCTAATAATTAAGTATTCTTAATTTTACTCCTATACGACCTGGGGCACAACCTCAACGTTGCCTTAATCCTCCCAAACCCTGATTTTACCCAGGCTGTTGAACGTTCCTGACCTAGTAGCTGGATCTCCTCAAAACCAGATTTTTTTTCTATCCCAAACGCTGTTTCGGATACACACCTCAAACAGCCAAGCCAGGCTCCCCTCGGCCCCGCTCGGCCCCTCTCGGCTCCCCTCGGCCCCGCTCGGCCCTTCTCGGCTTCCCTCGGCCCCGCTCGGCTCTGCCCGGCCCCCTCGCTCCTCTCGGCCCCGCCGGCTCTGCCCGGCCCCGCCCGGCTCTCCTCGGGCCCGCTCGGTCTCTCCCTCAGCCGCCGCCATGGCCCGCAAGAAGCTGCACCGGCCCATCGCCGCCATGGCCAGGAAGATCCGCGAGTACCGCGCGCTGAAGGAGCGCCCGCGGGACTCTCAGCGCTTCGCCCTGGACTACGAGACCATGCGGCGGCGCTGACGCAGAAGCGGCTGCCGGTGCGGGCCTGGGAGGACGTGCGAACGAGAACGGTTTTTCGCGCTTGCTCTGCGCTGCGGCTTCGGCGTGGGCCGCACGTCACCCGCAAGTCTGGCTGTGGGCGCACGACGGAGCCTGCTACTGGTCATCACAAGGTGAAGCGGACTACACGGCCGAGGTACGCCTGCCCCATCCCCGCCCCGGGACCGCGCCCGCCGCGCCCTGCCCTCAGCGCGATCCGCTTTTCTTTGCAGGACATGGACCATGGAAGAGCCTGGGGCTACCTGACCTTCAGAGGTGAGTCCGGCTCGTTTTCCCACCGACGTGGAGAGCACCGGGAGGGCGGCAGGAAAAACGGCGGCCTCTCCCAGCCTGGGGAATTTGTGGGTTTTTTTCAGATCTGCTAATGGGAAAAGAAGTTCCCCCTTGTTTAAGTTTCAAAAGCTGGGATCTAGCTCCCTCGGAGTGTCTTTCTGAGGACTGCTGTGGGAGACCCAGTGCAAGATGACCCTGGGGAACAGCAGCACTGACAGTGCTAGATGAGCTGACAGACTGCTCAGAGACTTTGAAAGCAAGACACAGAATGAGCACATGGGGGTGGTCCGGGTAAAGCTGTCACTAAAAAGCTGCAGTGGCAAGCAGCTTATGTTACTGGAATTTTTAATTAATGCTTGGAGTTGAATGAGTGGATTTCCCTTTTTAGAGCTGCTTTATATTAGGTATACAATTGTCTCTTACAGGAGTTACTGAAATAGTTCTAGTTCAAAGGTTTTGAAGTTGTTGGGCACTTTTAACACTCGATTTTCCAGATAACTTTCATCAGTGTAGAGAGAAATTACTCTCGTTCCTTAGCCATGGAAATGGAAGCTGAGAGAGATGAAATGACACTTTAAATTAAGAGAGGGAGTCACCCATAGTACTGAAACAACTTGCCTGTAGTCCTTTCAGCCTGTTTCTGTTTTGATTTCCAATGACAGAAGTAAGATCCCATAGTATAGCAGGGGAGATCCTGTCCAACCCTTTGAAAACTCCATTTACTCTTACTGTTGCAGCATTTCGGGTGCCGAAGAGTTGACACTTGCTGTGTTTCCTGGAAGGAGTTTGTTGTGACGGTGTTGCCCACTGGTGTTCCTCATCTTTTCCCAGGCAAAACTGAAGAGGAAGTGAGAGAGATTGATAAAGTCATGTACCATGACTGGCGTATGGTGCCCAAGCACGAGGAGGAGGCCTTCAAGAAATTCACCCCAGTGCCTGAGGAGACTGTTCGGTTCCTGCCGTACCCGCCGCTGCTCCGAGCCATGATCCTTGCCCAGTGGCAGAAGGAGGGAAAACCAATCACAGAGGAACCAGTTATTGATCTGCAGAAGGTCCTGGCCACTCCCCGAGAACGGGCAAAGAAAAAAGCTACAGGGACACCTGTATAAAGACTTTTTCTGTGTCCCCAGCTTCTTACATGCCTCTCACTGCCTGTTAGAAGCCCAGTGCATGGGGATGTACAAATCTTCGTTCGCGAAGCCTAGCCATGATGATGCATGGGGACGTTACAGAGACCCCCGTGCCCACCATGGTAGGGTGTAGCCAGGTTCCCTGGCTTTCTCCCCAGCCCTGTACAGTCACCTCATCTCAAAAGGAAGATGCAGATATATTCAGACTCCTTTTCCGTAACATTGGTCTCAGTCAGCAGAGGAACCTTCTTGGTTCCCTGAGTAGTCTCTGAATACACAGCTCCTGTCAGCCAGCTGCAATTCTTTGGAGCATAATTTTCTTTATAGCCTGAAAATTAATCTTTTGACAACATTTTTTAGATAATTTGGGTCCTGCATGAATCACATGGAAATGACTAATAACATCACAGTATTTCAGAGAGCTGTGAAGAAATGTATCTGCAAATGAAAATAAATGTTGTCTTAATTCTGCAGCACAGTTCTAAGAAAACTTGGGAATTTTTTTCAATGCCTGGAGATTATCATCTGCAGAACCATTAGCGTACCAAACACAGGCACAGCATCAGGTTCTCTGAACACTGCAGAATGATCTGGGTCACTTGCTTAGGATGGCAGTGCACATGAGGAGCACAGTTGGATAGTAAGCTAATCCAAAGCTATCCATCCATAGCTACTCCAGAGATGGCTGTCGAGAGATAGGAGAAATTATTTTAGTTTTGGTGATGCAAAGGATGCATGATTGACTTTTACCATTTGAATCAGCCAATCACAAATGACTCCTGTTTCAGGGCAGCGCTTTGTGAACATTAAAACATGCAGCTCCTGAGCACAGTTCCTGGCAGTTCATCTTCTCTTGCTGCCTGTGGATGCTGCTGCTGTGTCAGGGGTTGTTGGAGGGTCTGGTCTGGATGTGGATGGATGGGGCACAGGAGCTGTTCTGGTCTGTAGATCAACTCCCTGCACAGAAGTAACTGTTTAGTTTCTGTGTCTGCCGTAGCAGATAGTCAGGAAGTGGTGTTCCATTTGCTGCAGCATCCCAAAATCACAATTAGCCTGAGGGGATTTAGAGAGGGAGAGCACAAACGACTCTGCTCCACCCAGTGTTCCCTGGATGGGACTGGGGAATGTGTGGCCCCAGCCAGCAGGAAATAACTGCCATCAGGTAGGAGCACAGGATTGACATCGGTGACCTGGATTCCCACAGGGCTCCCCACCCAGAGGCTCCTGAAGGATTAAGGTGCTATGGAATAAGAGGGAAGGCTTTACTTGTGAGTTAAAGCCAGTCCTGTGACAAGATGTAGAGGCTGGGAAGAGCTGAGCCCCTGTTTGCCTGTAGTGGCAGAACATGTGCCAGGACTAGTTCTCTGGCTTTGGAAGGAATGGGAGAATCCAGGGAAGGGAGAATCCAGAGCATTACCACAGACAAAGAGTTTGAGACTGTGAGCCTTCCCACAGCTGTGGCTGGAAGGCAGCTTGGCTGGTTCTCAGAGCCTCCAGTGTCAGGCACTGTGCTGAGCTGATGGCTCCCGTCCTCACCAGGATGGAGGTGCTACTGAACTGACACACAAACTGAGGCTGAGCAAGGAGGGAGAGAGCTGTGGGTGTGAGTTAGATGGCATGAGTAGAACAGTCTAGTCCTCTCTACTGCACAGCTGGGATCTGAACAGAGCCCTAGAACAGGCTTCCCCTGAGGGAGCACAGGCCCACTGAGCCTGCCCACAGGGGGCAGAGCCAAGTCTGGTCGCAGCATCCCCCAGCAGCCCCAGACAAAGCAAGAAGTAGCCATGACCAGGGGATACCAGGGAGTCCAGCCAGGATCAAAAGCAGATAGAGCTGATAACACCATAAGGCGTAGAGGCATCCAACAGTTTGGGTGGGGAGGGACCTCTGAAGATGATCTAGTTGAGCCCCTCCAAGTCCAAGGGGTCCATCCAGGAACAGCTAGGGACAGACACAGCTACAGGCATATTGAAGGCCCCAGTTCATGTTTAAATGAGGCTCCTGGGCCATAGGAGGAAAGGGCCTCTGTTACAGCTGGCGGTTTAGGTGGTGCTGATCAGGACAGTCATGTCCGGCTGGTGACCTTAACACCTGGGGGAAGGGTGCGCAGGCTGAGAGCCTTGCCCAATGGTGAAGGTCCCTTCCAGGAAGCTGCACAGCCCATTTGCCACTGGTTGGATTCCACGTCCAGAACATGCTGTGAGCTTTGCTGGCCCTCCCAAACCTGTACAGTTACCTCACATTTACCAGTATGGGGGGGGGGGGGTTTGTCTGAGGGATGATGGCAGTGACCTGCTTCCTCACCCACCCTGGTGGGTACCAGACATATCTGCACTTCACCTAGAGCCCTGCTCAGACTGCTCCTGGCCTTATTCAAGGGTGCAGCCCCAGGAGTGCAGGACTGGTCTCAGCACCTGTTTCCAAACTGTGGTTGAGATGCCTCCACTAACGCTGGAGGCATTGCCAGTTGTATGACACCCTGTCCTGTGCTGCCCCACAGTGCATGTGTTGGTCATGGATGAGACTCACTTCAGGGCCCCCTGCTCAGGGCAGAACATGCTCCTGTTGTAAGGAGGTGGCTCCCTTGTACACTGCCACGTACAGCCCTTGAACTACCGGTTCTACAAAATATGGAAGTGTCCAAGTGCTGCTGGGGCTGAGGAGCTCCCTCCCCACAATGTCTGACGCAGATGCCTAAGGGACTGTGAAGTGCCACCCTGTATCATGTTGAAAGCTGACCTGATGTGTTAACCCTGGCGGTTCACCTGAAGGGGTCACCCTGACAGAAGCTGCAGCAAGCCAGCAGATGGATGCTTCTCTGCTCTCATATTTCTGAAGTTGTTCCACCTTTAATTTCCAGCTTTTATTTCTGCCGCTGGCAGAAGCTACAGATTGCATTTGGCTTGCTGGACCAGCCCCTTCTGCTGTGACTCTGTGAGCCATCCACACCTCATTTCTTGCCACTAAACTGCTCAACAACGGTGAACACTTGAGCTGCATTCCCACCCTTTTTAAGTGTCCCACTCTTAAAAGACTGAGAAGCAATCCCAGTGCTTTCACAGGAACACAATGCACTGCCCAAGATGATGTTAACACGTTTATTACATACAGAACAGATATGGTTTGTTGTTGATAGCATAGGGGACAAAGCATGGGAACGTATTCATACAGCAGGCTCTTTACAGAATGCCATCTTCAGACCGAACAGCGGAGTTTACAGGCCTTGAGACACTTTTTAAAATCCTTTTGTAACATACAAGATACTTTACATACATCACAGTGGAGATATGACAGGGAAGTGTGCTGAAGCCAGTCAGTTCTCACCTTGATGCCCAGCAGCCACCCAAGGCTGCAGGAGCTGCCAGCAGAGGCCGGGTCTCCCCCCTGGAGCTGCCCCTCTGGGCCATGTGCTTCTCTTGGAGGAAAACATGCACCGAGCTGGAAAGGAACCTGGTGGTAGAGGCCCCAGACTGATTTCCTCATGTTGCCAGAGCCCAGTGGGTGACAGGAGACCAAGTGCTGTCCCTTCAACTGCTCAAACCAGATACAGAACAAACAGTCAGAGGTACAAATGTTACAATTCTGATTTTCCTACAAAAGAGTTGACAGAGTGAAGGAACTGGACTCTACCGGGGCTTTTTTTCTTTTTTTTTTTTTTTTTCCCTTCAACTAGCCCAAATTCTGAAGTTTATCTGGCCCTAACTGATGAACATGACAGTGGAATCTGTGCTTTAAATGTTATATTCTTAACTTCAATGCACTCTGTGTTGGGACCCAAAGAGCTCTTCCTAGCAGAAAGCATATGGGGAAAGTGAATGAGAAGCCTGGCATGGTCAGCAGTGGCCCAGTGAAATGTCCCTGGTGAAAGGTCCCCCCACATGCAGATGGTGACTCCAGGTATCCCTTAACCCAGTGCCAGCCACAGAACCCAGTGTGCTGATGCCTGGAAGACTCTCTCCAGCTGGATTCCTGCCTTGGGGAGGACTGGTGTGGGTGGTGTGTCACCAGCACTGCTCACAGACAGCCATGGGCACCACTGCAGCTGGCTGAGGCCTCTAATTCACCAGCGATGTTGCTTGCCTCCTTGCAGGGGCAATGTAATCCCCAGCCTTTCCTGAACTGTGGATCCAAAAATCGTTTCAGTGCTGCTGCATCAGCAGAGATGCCACCTGTTAGAGCATCACCTGGGAACATGGCATCCCTGCAGCACAGCAGGAGCTTTAGACCACAAGCCTTGTGAACAGCCTGGTCCATGGCAGCAAGCACGGGACACAGCTATGAGCTTTCTGGGAGATGGAGGCTTGCCCAGTTGTCCCTATACTGTCATAAGGATGTCCCTGTGAACCCCAGAGTGCTGCACAGCTCAGGGAAGAAACAAGATGACCACCAGGAGCTTCCAAATTCATCACTAACAACTGCGACTTGCCCTAGTCCTGCACATTCAGAAAGGAGTCCTCTGGGGACATGGAACTTGTCCTTGTTGGATGGGACTGTTTCTGCTGACAGAAAGGGGGAACACACCACTGCCTCTACACCTGGAGCTGCCACATTCTGCACCTTGAGCTCAAAACCACTCTCCCTGGCCCCGTATTTTTGCACATCTGCCATTGCCCAGCAGTGCTTACACAGGGAGGGCTGTCACCACTTCTCTAAGGGGCTGTCAACTTTTTTCAGGAGTCAGAAATTTCCAGCTTTTTAAACTACTTACTAACACAGTTAGTGTTAGATAAAAGATGCTGGGAAATCTGTCCTCAATTCCTTTTTCTATGTGACTTCAGGTGAGACACGGCCTTTCTGTACCTTGACTGCACATCCAGTCTTTCCTAACTGACAGCCAATCTGTTTTCCTGTGAAAACAGAGATCTCCTTCCAGCAGTTCCTGGGAAGGGGACATAACCTTGAGTCAAGGCAATGTCAATGTGTTAATGAGAATTCATAGCAGATCACCACCCTCTGCCCTCGCATGTGTTTTAAAAGCCACCAAATGCAATGCAGAGATAACTTTCTTCTGAACCTTTCAGAACCAACTCGGGAGTTCTTTACTGCCTGGCATTTTTAGAACGGGGAGTTAGGTGTTGCCTTTTCTGCTCTTGAAAAAGCAGTGTTCCAGTACCCCTTTGCTACCACAGCCATGTGGCCTCCACAATCAAACACCCATTTGCCATCTGAGGCCACCAAACAATCCTCTTGGGACACACACACAGGCACCCAGCACATAGCTGCTGAGACAACAGCAGCAGCAGAGGACAGGACCTTCCCACTGCAAGGACAGAGGATATGAACCCCACAGTAATGGTGCTGCTGCCTCCTCCAGCCCAGCAGCAGAAGGGCTGCCCAAACCATGATGCTCCTTTCTACTGAGGCCTCCTTGGACTTATCTGCTCTCAGTCCATGGGATGTTATTCTGTGCTTAAGGGTGGATAAGGTGGAGAGTCCACTGGTGAACTAGAAGGGATTTCTGCTGTGGTGCTGTAGAAGTGATTCACCACCAGTGCTTTGCAGGGGATGCCTGGGGACACACTTCTTTCTCATGCAGGTGGGAGTGAGGCAACCTGCCCGAGAACCTGAGCCACCCCGCTCTAGCTGGGCAAAGGCTTCCCACAGTCCTGGCTCCAAGCTCACTTCACGATGCGCTGCCATTTCTCTCCTTGCAGATGCCAGCTCCAGAGCAGAACAAGAATCCAACCATGCTGAAAGCACACGGGCCCGAGATGAAAGCTGCGAGTTCCGAGGGGGTCACAGTCTGAGGCAGGAGCCGTTGCAGTTGTCCGGGGTCAGTTTCCAGCAGGAGTTATAATGCAGGCGTTCTGTATGTACATCTTGGCATTCAGGCGGGAGGAGGGACACTTACATTGAGGGGAAGGAGGAATTCTCACTCAGGGATATATGATACCTGCCACACAATAATGTGGCTCCGTTCAGCCTTGGAAAGTACTGGCTTCACCTGTGTGGCATCTCCTGCGTTTTCCTCTGTCTCATCATCTTCCCCATCCCCTGGAGAGAGAAAACAGAGAGTAAAAATGGCAAGAAAGAAAATCCCATAGTGCACTGTTCTGCAATACTCCAAAGTGGCCAATACTATTACAGTCCCAGCAGTCTGACAACAGACACCATGAGCTGAGACGTTCCTCTGTGCCCGAAGAACAATTACAGCAAGACAATGCTTTTCCAAAGTCGGATTGCATGGATGGGAGAAACCAGCTCCAGCAGCAGCAAAAAACACCCTTCTTTTCAGGGAGGCCAACTTTTAGACACAGAGCACCCTCAGCAGCACGGGTGATCCCAGTGGGGCAGCAACATTTGGAGCCAGTGGCACAGAGGGGTTTGTTTTTTCCAGAGCCATCCACACAGTCATGTGGTACTGCAGGCACAGGGCAGAGGTTGGGAGCCTTGCGCTGTGCAAGGAAAATCTTTATCTGCCCTCACAGCTAGATGCAGGAGAAACAGAGTTTGTGGGGGTTTTCTGCTTTGGCTCCCCACAGCAGCGATGCCTCACTCCATGACCACAGCCACGCACCCTCTCCCCTTCCAGGTGCCTCCCACCACAGGCACTCACCGATCCGGAAATCGATGTACCCTTCTCCTCCACTCAGCACAAGGACGTTCTTCAGCTTCTGCCCCTCGGTCTCGGTGGCTGCTGTGCTGGGGTTCTCCGAAGGGCTGTCCAACACACTCCCATTCAGGGTCGCAAGGACATTACCTGGGAGAGGACAGAGGTGCTGTCAGTGCCTCTGCTCAGCCTCCACGCAGTTCACACACACGCAAACACGCCAGGCAGACAAGTTCCTTCTGCTGGTCAAATCTGGCAGTCGCTGCAGTTTAAACCCCTGTGTGTGAGCCACAGGAAGTGCCAGTCATGGCCTGCACCCCCATCTGCTGCAGAGCAGCTCCAGTCCCCGTTACAGAAGGGATGGCAGAACAAGCCCCTGCTGAGGAAGGGCTCTGCTCATCCTTACCAGGCACAGAGACGAAGAATTTGACAGCATCCCGGTGTCCATGGAAACAGAGCTGTGCCTGAGCCATAGAGCAGTAGGGAATGAAGCTGCTGGCCGATTTGTCACTGTTGTCATCACCGTACACGTGGATGACCCCACCAGAGCGGCTGCCCTCTCCAGAGGTTGGTGAGGTCTTGTTGGCTGGGGATAGGGAGGAAGAACATCATCAGTGATAGCTTTGAGTCCCCTTTACAGAAGGGACTCAATCAAAGAGAAAACTCATGAGCCATGAAGGAAGACCTTTAAAGGCACAGGTCTCTTAAAGGTCTTGTGTGAATGATGTGATGGAGGAGACCACACCAGATTACAGTCCCTCTCTTTTAGACTGAGGCAAGCTAGACTGGTGTCCCAGTGAAGGACTCACCAGCAGTGATTCTGTCCAGCCTCCAGAATCACCCACTGTCCTAGTATCAGCCTTGGTTTTTTGTACTTGGCAGGGTATCCAATGGTGTCCACTGTTCCCAGAGACACCCAGGGCACCTAGAGGAGAATTACTGCTATTCTCTGAATAGGTGAAGTTGCTCGGTTTCCAAGTCAAGTCCTTTGCTCATGCCCAGCTGTGAGCATACGTGCTGCTGAAAGCAGTCTCTGGGTCTGGTGAAGCCTCTTGGCCCAGTCAAAGCCATCACAGAAGTGAAGTGAGTTCCTTCCTCAGTTCTTGATTTAACCATGACACCAGAAAATCAAACTACTCCAGCAATGAACATCTGAAACGTGTTCACCATCCACAGTTTCCAAGGATTTCAAGGTGGGCTCAGGGGCCTGCATCTTTCATGTCCAGGCTCAGAGAATGTGAAAGTTTCCAATCACCAAGCAACAGAGACCAGTGCTCAGAGCTCAGAACAGGGCATGCTTTCCTTCTGCATACACCCACATCAGTACAACAGGAACAGCACTAAAATCAGGCAGCTTTCAATGAAGCTTGATTGCTTCATTAATTATCTGTAGTTCTGTATTTTGACTTGGGCTGGATTTCAGTTATTAAGTGATTTGGACAAAGGAGACTTTTCCCTATCAGGCTCAAGCAAGGATGGCAAGACAAGTACAAATACTTTGCTGGAGGAATGAGAATCAGTGTGTATACAGTATATGGCTTTTTACTGCAACTTATATCAGATGCTTTAAAATGAGGAGACACATGTTGACAGTGCTTCTGGACAGCCATATATATTTCTTTGAGTGAAAAAAACCCTAATTTCTGACCCTGGAAAGGCATAAATTTAAACTAAGACCCTGCCTTAGCTGGGCAAACAAACAGTTTGAACTTAGCTTTGAACAAACCCAAACAGTTCTTCATGTTTATCAAGTCCTCTTGGGTTAAACATTTGGTTGATGACTTGCAGCTGGCAGGTGCCACAGCACCTCCTGCCCTTGGCCTGCAACTGATGAGAGAAACATCCTTGGAAAAACAAGGATGACCAAGGAAGACCTTGGAAGAACACTCTACTCCTGCTCCCTGGAACCCTCTGACTGAATGAACCTCTTGAGATGAGTCCCCATCTCAAACCTGGCCTACCACAGCAAGGGAACCACTGATGAAAAATAAATTACTCTTGACACAAAAAAACCAGATGGATAGCTGATGAGATGGTAAAAAATGTTTATAGCTTTGGGAAATGAGGATATTTACGTGACTGTCTTTGGTTGCTTTTCTCCAGTGTGACTTACAATGAAAGAGTGATGAGCAAAAAATGGATGGAGAGAGCTGAACAGCAGGATGGAAGGGTGGGAGAGCGACTGCGATGGGAGGCAGGTGCGGAAGGAGTGAGAGCTGAGGAGAAGAGGCAATGGACTTACCCCGGAGCCCAAGGAGTTGGCCTCGGTGGAGGACTACAGCTAGGCACAGGCAGGGAGTGGGAACACAGAGGGGCACAGGAAGTGACGGGCAGGAGAGGAGAGAAGAAAAAGGTGATTACTGGAAGATAATTCAGGGGGCAACAGAAATAGTGAAAAAAACCTAGAGAAACCACCACAGGATCTCTGATGTAGTTCACACCTACACTGTTCTTGCTCACTTGGCTCTTACCTTACAGGGACAAATGTGGTATCTGAGATGGGAGAGGGACTGTGTCACAAGGATCCACTGCTGTATTTCTAGTGAGACCTTCCTGCTTACCACATTTTTACAGGAACACCCAAAGATAAAGCAATTGTTTGACAGCAGGGAAAAGGCTTAACTCAGATTAAGGACAGCAGCCCCAAGACAGAATGGGCTTCAGAACAGGGACTCGGAAATGAGACTGAGATTGCAATGCACGAAGAGGACTGTGTCACTGCCCTCCTGGTGTCAGCCCCAGGCACATCCAGCTCCACTGGCCTCAGAGATCATCCCTGACTTCCAGGAGGATTACAAGAGGTTTGCTCCTTTTATACAAGAGCTATTTGCTTCTCAGCTTTCCTGTGAGCAGTGGTGAGAAAACGTAAATTTGACTGCTTTCTAGTGAAAGCAATTGCAAGCAGCCTCAAATCCTACTCCCCCGTGGTGATCTGGAACAGACTGTCAAAATAAGATGCAAGATGGGCAGGTACAGAACAGGATTACTAAGAGCTTCAACTAAACTTCCAGCTCTGGAGATGCACCTATTTATACCTACTGCTGGGTCCCCTCCCCAGGCTGGATTTGGTGTAGGATACCAATTTCTAATTGACTGATGTAGTTGAGCCCTAATTTGAGTAAATCAAGCTTTTCTAAGGTCAGTTTCTGGAAAATACTGCTATGGAGATATTTAGATGTCTATGCCAAAATAAAATTTCCAGGGACATCTTCCTGGTGACTTCTCATCCCACAGCCTCCTTTTGGAGACTACAATTCCCAAAGCTTTCTCCTGCTTCACAGTAGCTACAGAATCAGTTCATATCACTCTGCTCTGTCAAGGTCATGCTCTAAAAAGAAGACTGTAGGGATGGTAGAGATGTCCCCCCACGGAGGAAATAGCTTCAACTGAACTGAAAAGGGCAGAAACAAATACCTGCTTGGTTTTAAATAGGTTACATCCGTTCAACCGAACACTTAATTCCTTAATAAAGAAGAGTTACACCAAGTCCAGGGCTGCTCACACTTCGGGCTCTTCTCCCTGAACACAGCTACGATCAAGGGGTATCAGATGTTGGGAAAGCATCAGCCTGCCCAAGCCACCCACAAGTAACACCCAAAAGCTTCTTTTTTTAGTGGGGGGATGCAGAAGTACCTTCCATAAATGTCACTTACTCTCTGTCAGGGGAATGGAGATGACGACACCGTTCCCGGTGCCCACCCAAAGGCGGTTGCCAGCGATGAGCAGGGCTGTGATCCGCACGAAGGAGAAACCCAGCTTTCCAGTGCCTAGGAAGTATGAACGAGAGTTGGGGAGTCAGTGATGATTCTGGGCAAGGTCTGCTTTGGGCAAATTCTGCTCTGATCTCAGTAAGTAACAGACCACTTTCTGACACGCCCCACTGCCTCACCCAGCATCTTGCTGACGTAAGGCTCGATGTCGACATCCTGCAGGTGCTGATGGCTGTGGGCATGGTAGAGCCTCAGGGTGGAGTCCAGACGGATGGAAACCCACACTCCATCTCCAATCCATGCCAGCTGTCGCACCTGGCTCTCTCGCCGAGGGTGGGCATCAAAGGATTTCTGAAACAGGTGAACCAACATGAGTTCACAAAAGGTTTGCCATTATCTACACATATACTCCATTTTCCTCAACTGAGATCACTTGTTTGGGTTCCAAAGCTCTTGGAGAAGCTGTGTTAATGCCAGCTGACCACAGCAGTTTACTACAGGACACAGAAAATCCCTCGCTTGAGCAGCTTTGGAGAGTGGATGGTCTTTGCAGACCAGTTCAGGAGCAAGGGCTTTCAATGTACTTAATAGAAAAGGAAAACACACAACTCCAGGATAAATTCCAAAGATCAAATTGCCTTGGCTCACTGATGTGAACTTCAGATCCAGCACTTTTTCTCTTCTTGACAGGATTATTTCAAGCACTCTCAGACAGATTTGTACCAACACCACTGTACTGAATTTCAACCAAAAGGCTCTAAAGATCATTTTTTCCTTAGGTAGCTGGGATCACGGGGGCTTGCTAACTGTACTGTTCCTCTGTGCCACAATGCCTACAGATGAAGCCTCAGACCACATGTGAAGGGTCACTGTCAAGCACATACCTATGTTTTGACAGTACGTGGCCTCATAGACTCATGAGTAAAGGCAAAGAAAATGCTCAGTTTAGACTTATCTAAAGAATTATGTTCTGCAAAGGGAGGAAGGAATAAATACCTCCTGGCAGATTGGATCATAAATGACCCAGACTGACAGTTTGGGTTCTGCAGTAAGCAATGACAACCCAAAGGTTCTGCATTTCACACAGTGCAGCAGAAAACAGCTGTAAGAATAAATACAATACAACGCGTGTGCGTGCACAGACACACATGTGCTCTCTTACCTCAATCTGCATCGTCTTTGGCTGGATAACATGGATTTTGTTCTTGTAGCCACACCAGACTCTATCGTAGACCACAGCCATGCAGCGGATCGAGTGGTGAGTGTGGCCGAGATCCATCAGGTGGTAATTACTGAGATCCCACTGGCCATCTGAGGTGAAAAGCAAGTGTGGAAAGATGCATCTCCACCATGACATGTCAGCATACAACAGAATCCTCTACCTTTCCCTGTATATTCGGGTATATAGGCTTAGTCGGTACTCAAATGCTCAGTTGGCTTATGTCTGTGACTTTCCCGTGCCTCCATACTCCTTCTTCAGGCACAGTCTTACACTGATGAAACATGCAATAATAAAGTTTAATTTGGTGTCTAAAAGTGCTCCAAATCAGTATCCTTTACTGCAATGAAACAAACAGGCTTCTCTAACAAGTACAAAAACCAGCAGGAGAAGAAGACTTGAAAAGGAAATGGGCCATACAGTCCTTGTAGTGAGGCTTCCTCACATCACAGACATACAACATAATTCCCTCAAAGTGTCAAACCCAGGATAAGGAATCAGATCTCCCTGCTCCCACCGTTATTTCTAACTAACCAGGCAGATATTTGTGTCCTTCACAGACAGTCAGTCTCTCTGTCATGAAGCTTTATCTTATTTCTGATGGGAACAATTTTGATGTGTCAATGGTCAGGCTTGAGCTCGTGACAAAAGCTGAATCAAAGTTTGAATTGCATGAACCCAGAAGTCTCTATATTTCAGCTCGCTGAATGAACTGCTACTCAAGGAATAACTAAGCTCTTTATACGCCAACATTAGTCACAGTTAGCAAATTCCCAAGAGCTGTCAGGTATGAACACAGCTAAGAAACTACTCAAGCCATAGGGAAACAAAACCCACAGAAGTGAAGAGCAACAGAAATTGAATTTACCAAGTGTGCCTCAAGCAACTGCACAGCATATGTATTTCTAAAAGTGTCATATTTACTCTACATGTGCTACACAGCCCATACACACACATTTTCGTTCAGAATAGCTCAGGAAGCGGTGTTAGTGTAAGCCTGGGATGGTTTAGGATAGCAATTATGTGTATAACAGCTATGTGTTTTAACTCTGTTTGTACTGCTGCACTTTCAGCCAAATTTTGTTTTCTCTATTACATTGATTCTTACCTTCTCCCCGGTGGAATATGGCTAGCGTTCCATCTGCCAGAGCAACCAGGACCCTCCCTTTCACATGCCTGAAATCACAGAACAGTAAATGCTTACGAAAGCCTGTAGATGTGAGGGACTAATAAACTCTTCCTGCCATCCATACACACGATCTTTATGTTGTCTTTACAATTCCCAGTCAGTTTAGCACTTGCAGGAACATCTTGCAAGAGGTCACACCTTCATTGCAATAGGATCATCCCTAAATTTTATGTTGAGGAAATTCTTCTCCTTCACAATACAAACCCCATCAATTTCAACAAATTCCCCCTAATTTACTCCTCAGTGAAATTTTGCCTTTCTCTTCCCCACTCACTTCCTCCTGATACTGCTAATCATGTATTCACTAACTTGGTCAGGGCTGGGTCGGGGCTGCAGTTGAGCAGGAAAATGGATCAGTATGAGGCTTACCCATAACGAAAACCTTGGGAAACTTCCCTCACAAACCAAGGCACTTGGGAGAGCAAAGAAAAAGTTATGGCTGCCACATTCCTGGAATTGTTCAAGGCCAGCAACATGGACAGGGCTTGGAGTAACCTGGTCTGCGGCAGGGAGTTGGAACAATTACCAATTTAGCAAGGTCCCTTCCAACCCAAACCATTCTGTGGTTCTGTGAGTCTGTGACAAAGAGCTGCTACCACCCCTCTATAGTATCACTTATGCCCTGAACCTTCTCCTGCAGGTCCCTTGGAATGCACACTTACACCAGGCTCAGCACAGAGTCCTTTAGCTTTATTGAGTGCAGACACTTCTTCCAGTTGGACACAGCCGAGTGCACATAAAGCCTGTGAGAGAGGACAAATTGGGGAAGGTGAGCAGCAGGCCCCACACCTTCAGCTTGACCAGGCTTGAGTCTTTTCTTCTGGTAGGAAAGTGAGGTTAAAACCCTCAGACTATGGTGAGCTGAGTAATGAAATGATGAATAAAAACCTTCTCCAGAAACAAGCAGTAAACTAAAGGTGTGTGGACATGAAAAACAGAGCCCAGAGCATGGAGGTGACAGAGATCTGCCAGCTCAAGGGGAACGCACCAGCCATTCTGAGCTCCCAGCCACATGGTGGGGGCAGCACTGGTGCAGGTCCCAGCAGCATCGCTGGTTGGCTCTTGATCTGGCAGTGTTGTGCTGGGCTCCGTCTTCAGCTGCCCGTTCTCCCTGAAGAGGCAAAAGAACAGCATTAGAGGTTTAGCAGCAGCACTGCACAGAATGCCCTCCTAGGCCCACAGCCTGGCACTCACAGGCAGGTGTGGGGCCTTGCAGGCACAAATCGCTTTCCACCCTTTGGTGGTTTTTAATTGCAGATTTGCAATTTGCAACATTTCCTTCCTCCCCCGCCAACAAACAAGTACTTCAAATCTACAGACCCTCACTGAATGTTTAGAAGGACTATTACACAAACAGTATCTTCTCTGTTCATTTCCAACTTCAACAGAAACATCTTAGAGCAACTTGGGCATTTAGAAACAATCTGTATAGGAGACGTCCACTCTGCTCCTCAGGCCCTCACATCAGACTTGTTTGTCTTAAGAATTTCTGGGTGGTGAATATTCTTTCTTGGTTACTTTTACAGCAAATCAGAGGTACTACTAGAATAAATCAATCATCATTTTTACACACAGATCAGAAGGTTCCTTCAGCGGGAACATGAAATGTGCATGTTCTTTGGAAGATCTGTCTTAACCGCAAGTCTGCCTCCATAGTGAGAGGTTAAATATTCGCACTTTAACAGTCTACTCCAGGCTAAGCCATGTTTATTTTCATTTCATTTCCTTCCCTCCTATCATCCCATCTGTAATACTACTTGGGCACAAAACTGATAGAAGTCTGACACTCTAGCAGAAGACCAGGTTGCTTCTCTTATCCCAAAGCTTATGAAAACAGAGCTGATCAGTAACTGAGCCGGCACTCTGACCCCAGTCCTCCTACCCGTTCTGCCTGGGTGCCTGTGCTGGGACAGGGTCTGTGAACACATGCTCGGTGAGGGGCCCGGGCCGGGCCTGCGCCGGCTCTGCCTCACTGGCACTGCTCTCCGGGACCTCCGTAGCCTCTGTTGCCTCCTCAGTAGACTGGGACTGGTTGATCTTCCCATTGCAGATGGGAGCCACCTCACCTGGAGGACAAGGAACAGTGTGAGATGTGCTGGAGAATGAGCTGGTGAGTTAACTATATATAGACACCAGGCTATAGTCAATTCTTTATCTTTCCTTGCCAAACTCAACCAAGCCCTGAGCCTGTGCCACAGACAGCAGCTCATCCAGCATCTTCTGCCTGGATGGGGAACAGAGACCATTTTAAAGTGAGGCACATTCTGTGACTAGCACAACACCAGAAGGTCTCCAGGGCTGTCACCGCAGTATGGAGTCAGCAAGGGCAGCAGTGTGATTTGTATATGAGCTTAATTGGCTTCCTAAGGCTCAGGGGAGAAAGCAATGAGAAGAGCAGCAACTGTAGCAGGGCAAACATCTCACCTGTCCAAAATACTCTGCAGTGAGACTCCCACAGCCAGGGCTGCAGGATGTGGATCAGAGAGAAAAGGAGGGCTCAGAGGAGAAATGTACCAAAAGAGCCTTTGTTCCTCCCGTACCACATTAAGAAACTTCTGGAGGCCTCTTAAGTGTTTAACTTAGGGACAGAAGGATGTGGCTCTAACACCATGGGCTCGTACAAGACTAGCAGTAATTGAACTGTCACTAAATTTTATGTCCCAAAACTCACTCTGTCCCTTGTCCAGCACAGGTGTGTCCCCACGCGAGGAACAGTTGCTTCGTGGCACATTGCAGCGGGTCGCACAGCCCACCAGCGTGATCCCTGCCAAGACACCGTCTGCTCCAGCCGACTCCTCAGGATTCACATCCCCCTCCAGGAAGATCTCGCCCGGGGGATAGTCACTCTCACTGGCCGCTGAAGGGCAAAGAACAGATTCTCACATAAACCAAGCTGTAACTGCTCATTTAATGGAGTTGCCCTCCTGAGGTCACCCTAATGATGGGAGATGCTGACACTTGGGGTTCACCACCCTGAGAGACACCACAGCTTCCACCAGCACCACCATGGCAGATCCCCTCATCCCTAGCATCAGCATCCAGGGCGGGTACAGAGCCCCCCCCAACCTTGGGCAAGGCTCACTCCTGTTCCCAAAAACCCATCTTTTGTTTGTGCCAAAGGAGCAACTTACTGAACACTCAACAGGGAGGGATCTCCACAACAGGAAGGCAAGATCTGGGTTATGGTGTTTGGAGGACACAACAGAGCCCAAGGATTAGTTCCCAAGTGAGGACATCTGCACTCCTCAGTGGGGCAGGCAGGTGACCCAGTGCTGACCCCAGCTTGGGCCCCACTCACCGGGGATGCTGGAAATGCAGAGCACGTGGGCGTTGCAGACAGTGAACTGGTCCACCACAGTGCCGGGCTGGTTGGCATCAATGATCACAACTTTACTGGTGGACAGTGTGCTAGTGAGGATCCAGACACGGCTGGATGTGGCATCCATCTCATGGATCTCCTTTGCCTTTGGGAGAGCAAACACACGGGCCCAATCAGCGCTCCTCCTGGATCAGCCTGAGCCTCAGCAGTGCTTTGGCAACATTTACACATGGTGTAATTTATATTAAATTATATATTCTATTCTATAGTAAATTTATTTTCTGTTTTATATATTTGTATATTAATTTATATTCTAATTTTTACTAATCTAATTTCATTCATATTGCTGCACTAGTACCCAGAGCACTGGACAAAAAGCCTGTCTGGCTCCTCAGGGCAAGAGGAATTTGGCCACTAATTTCTCCGTTGAGATGTCTGACTAATATGTCGCTGAATATTCTTTCAGCCAGAACACCATGAGGCTGGGATGCACCCAACTGATCATCTTAAGCAAGCTGGTCTCAGAAGAGTATAGGGTAGCAGTGTAAGACAGCTGTGGAAAAAAATCCCACAAACCAGAGAGCTGAATTATTATCTGCAAATTACAGTTTGCTTTTTTAAAAAATAAAAAAATTAAAAATAACTTAAGACTATTAAAAACCAGAACTGGATTAAATCTCAAGAACTTCAACTTCTGGCCCGAATGGACTCACAGACTCTGTATCTCTGTTCTTTTAACACAGCCTTGCCTGAATCTATTTTTCTTTTTTTAATTTACAATGATGAGGACTCCATAATCTCCCTGGCAACCTCACCAAGCACTTATTACTACGATTTTTTTCAAAACTCCAAATGTTTCAAAAGCAGAAGTTGGAAAACTTTATCTTGGGTTATTGGTCCCAAATCACACAGAAAGTTACAGAAGAGCCAGAAGACCACAGCCCTGTCCCACAAGTATAAGTCAGAGCATTTTATGGCATAGTACAAAGAGCATTTTATGGCGAAGTACCGAGAGAGGGGTCATGGCAGCGGATGGAATGAGAAAAAACATCAGAGGAAAAAAACTACCATTTTCTTTTCTGACCTTTTTCTTCTCAGGAGATGTATGGTTACTTTTGTTGTTCTCGCCTTCCACTTCCCTATCACAGGTGAGGGGATCACGCCCAGGATCCAATTTCTGCCCATTCCCAGGCTCCAGTTCCAAAGGTCTCCATCCTGAGAGATTGACTCCAGCTGCACACCACAGCTAAGGAACAGAAACAGGAATCTGAACTAAGAATTCTGCAGGGTCCAGGGTCTCTTTGAATTTAGGCACCTTTGTGGAGAACTGTCAAATGTCAAATATCTAAAACATTTAATTGGAAACACCAGTTCTTGCTGATTTCTAATAGAAGACAATCTGATTTAAAGGAGGTAAGATAGAGGATCTCCGAGCCCCGCAAAAATCACTCCTTTTTAGCAGATGTGACTAAAAGAGTTAAAGAAAATAATAAATCAGGTATGTAACTGAAAACAGGCTTCTGCAATGTCCTCGGTTTTTCCAACTCCGGGGTTCCTAAGTCACTGCAGCAAAGCAAGCCAGGACGTGGCAGATGTTTAATGGGTTCAAACTGACAGTGGGCAGATTTAGATGAGATATTACGAACAAATTCTTCCCAGTGAGGGTGGTGAGGTCCTGGCACAGGTTGCCCAGAGAAGCTGTGGCTGCCCCATCCCTGGAAGTGTGAAAAACCATCTGCTGGTTTAGCTCCCACATAACCAGTGTGGAGTGGAAGCAACTCAGTGCCTGTTTTCTGAAATCAAATCCAGCTAACCTCCTATGAGTTGTTTCCAGTGAGTTTTTTAGGAGAATGCTGGGAACATGACTACAGAAACAAATACTGGATTTATCTAAAACCATAGAGGAAAGATCCCGCACAGAACGTTATCCGAAGATCACACCAACCTTCCAGAAACAACAGCATAAGAATATTCTTACAACTGAATCCTCAGGATGATTTCTAAAAATCATCTCTGAATGAAGTACTAACAAACTGGCTATTTCAAAACAAACAGTTACTTCAGGTAACTGTCTGTGGCACTTGCAGAGATGACCACCTATTCCCAACTGCCATTCTACTCAAAACATTCTAGTACTGATAGACACAGCTTCACAAAGATCTGCTCCAGATAATACTGTCCTGTTACCAGTGAATCTGCCAACCAGAATGAGCTGAGAATTGTGTCCTCAAAATACTTTTTCCTACATCCACTAGAAACCACCATTCAAGAAGAGGAAGCAGAAGATAGACTTTGCAATATCTAATGTCAAAAAAGTATAGACTGTTGTAGAAATTGCAGGTCTAGTGACCCAAATTCTTTGCTAATTTCATATCCCCTTTCTGGACTGCATGGTAAGCAGAGGCAACGTACCTTCATGGTTGGGTCCTTCTCTACTAGCGGGCGACAATACACAGGCACAGGGACGTTTTTCATGCGAGTGTCTTCCTGACCACCATTGGGACTCAGCTGAGGGAAGAGAAGATGAAAAAGACAGTACAAAGCTGCAAATACCAGGGTATGGCAAGAGAGATGTAATCAGTATGGCAGAACTGATCAGAGGTGGTTGCTACTGAAGCTTCCTATCACATCTTTTGTGAAACAGAGTCCCTATGGGGAGGGGAGCAGCCCACCCAAGAGACCATTTCACCATCATCAGTGCCCCAACAGAGGCTACATATGGCCCTGCTGATGGAGAAAGGATGCTCCCTGCAAAGAGTCAGGACACTGGCATTGCTTTCCATCATGATGGTTGGGCTTGATGATCAAGGTCTTTTCCAAACTTAATGATTCTATGATCCTACGGCCTGAACCTCATCCACTTTCAAGTCATGCTGGAAGGCTCCTCCCTTTCAGGGGGTCTCTGACCAGTTAAATGAGTCACAGGCCAACAAATGAGGCTGATAATGTTTGATTTTGTGTTACTGATGGGGAGAAGTGAGTGCAAACAGCATTTGTTTTTCATACTAGACAATTGTTAAAGTTCTCAGAGTATAAATGAAATAACTAATGTTCAAGCCCAATTATAACAAAGGAAATAAAAAAGAAAGGGCTGGGCTCTGGACAGAAAAGCTTAATTTCTTTTGGTTTAGGGTAGGTTCTTTCAGCACCTTCATACAGAGGAATGCTCCTCCATTGACATTAATTTGATCTCTGTCTACAACTATTATACAAACAAAACATGTACACTGTACCTCTAAATTAAATAGTTAATGACTAAGGCTAAGTTAATGACTGAGGTCATTAGCTAATGACTAAGGGCACCTCCCCTCAGCCTGTCCAGAGTGCGGTCCCTACCTGCTTGTACTTGGCTGGGAGGCTCCAGCCACAGGCCTGCAACCGCCCGTCGTCATTCCGCACGTGCTCCCGGACCTGCCGGTACTGCTCCCGCTTCTGCTCCCGGCGTGCCGAGGACGTGCAGTCACTGGGGAGAGAAGCACAGCATTACCTCTCAATCAGTGGTTAAAGACAGGAGCTGAGGGTGAAGGGAAGGTGGCCAGAACAGGGGAGGGCACACAGAGCAAACCAAATCCAGCTGTGAAAACAGATGCAGGGAATCAGAGAGAGAAAAACTTTGTGGAGGAGCAGACACAGGCAGCTGTAATCTCTCTATCACCTGAGCAATGTGGCAGGCCAAGTCACTGTCATCACCACTTAAAATGTTCCAAGAGCCTTTCAGAAACAGGGAATCACCCTTCCCTAAAACCTGCAAATCTAAGAGATCACACCAATTTTTGCTGAGCTCTTACAATTTACTGATTAATGTTTCCACCAGGAAGGCATTTTGAGTTCTTCCCCTCCTCATTTATAGCCAACTACGGATTTTTCTGTCCATTTTTAGGCTTTCTGTGCTGACAAGGAAAATGTGCACTTACTGCTGGTTCCAACAGAACAACTCTAGCTTTGCACTAGCAAAGGTTAAACCAAAAATTGATCTGTGAGCTTTTAGACATGTTTTAATATAAACAAAGGCTGTTTGAGTGTCAGCTCCAGCTCTCAATAGGTTTTTAAAGTATCATTAGGAGATACAATCAACATCAGCAGAACAATCAAATCCAAACCAAAACTCCCTACTCGCACACACAAAATGACATATTTACTTAAAACAAAACCAACATCCTGCTGAAACAAAACACTTCGCTGCTCATGCTTCCTCCCACAGGGTGAGAAGGAAAGCACAAGCAGCTCTGACAGTGCGCAGTCCCACTGTGTAACGCACTGCTGGGAAGCACTCAGATACCACAGCATGACTCTGAGATGTCATCAGAGAAAAAGACAGAATAAAGGCAGTGGGTATCTACAAGGGACAAATTTATCCTTTTAAAACAATCGCTCTTCTCCTGAGCCAGTGTCTTCTCAACAAATCCTTCTTATTGCAGAAGTTATCCTACTTTACCACCACATTCTGCAAAGTTCTTCTCCACATGTCAAACCACACAACCTCGCAAATGGCAGAACATATCATGAAGTCAGTAAAGCACAGAAGAGGTTTCTCTCTTCATGTCAGAGACACAAAGAATTGTGGTAAGACTCTGCAGTAGCAATACCCAGAGGTTCATTTTTAGCATGGTTAAGATTAAAACCTAATATCGTAACTTAAATGTGCTGTGGAGAGAACTTCTGTCTTCACTTAAACTCCTTGTCAAAAGTGTCGGGCAGACATTCCATCCCTTTGTCCCAGTGCTGCCATCACACTCCACCACAAAAAGCCTACTTCATTCCATCCCAGTCGGCAAATATGAGTGCGGAACTGAGTTGGCTGAGGCCAACTCGAGCTGCAGTGGTCCCTACTGAGATGATCCATCATGGTCTGGAAATCCATGGTCACAATATGTTTGGGAGGACAAGGTTTGCCGAGCCCATCCACATAGTAACTGATGAGTGAAAGCTCCAGGAGATAAACCCCAGGGGACAGAGACATACTAACATCACACAGCTTCTAAAGTGGAAACCAGCTTATTTTAGGAAGAGCTGCAGGGGGACCTGGCTTGGCACACAGCCCGTGACTCACTCGTCAGGGAAGAACTCGAGGGTGCGGCTGCCGGAGGAGATCTGGCACATGGTGTGGCTGCGCCGCTGGCTGAACCCCGCTGTGGTGGGAGACTTGTAGTGGATATTCACAGAGGGGTAGGTCCTCTTTGCTGGGGGGGGACTGGAGGAAGAGCTGAACAGACGGCTGAAGCTGGGGACAGAAAAAGGCCAACAAGTAAGAGAAAAGGTGCCTGGGGAGACAGACACCACAGATACACAAAAGGGGAAGCAAGAGGTGCAGGATCAGGGGCTGTAAGCCTATCACAAAAACTGCCCTACTTCAAACCCAGAGCTACATCCTTGGTTTGATTGGCATAAGGCATTTTTAGCTTCCAGAAGCAGACATCTTCTGAAAACAGCCCTTTATTACAACTTACTGTGAGTGTATGAATATTTTCATTCCAGGATATTCATGAACTTTTTCAGCTTGTAAAACAAAAGCAATGCAGATGTTCAGATCTCATTTTAATCTCACTAAGGACAAAGGAAGCCCTTGAAGGCAAAAGGATTCACCTAACAACACTTTCATCTGACATTTCATTAACGTCAAGGTCCAGTAAGTTGTTGTCTAAAGTAGAAATGGTAATACTCCCCCTTTTCTTAATCTTGCACAAACCACCAAAGAACTTACAACTGCCAAATGGTGGATTTCTTCTTCTCCTGGACGGACGGGTGCTCACGGGAAGCTCTAAGGACAAACACAGCCAAAGCAAGTTAATTTCAGCATCTTTACACAAGCTTCTGCCAAGCAGCAGGTCATTTCCATCAACGAAGCCATGTCAAAAGTCAGACCAGAGAAAGGGACATGCACTGGCCTTCAATGCAAGCACACCCAAACACTTTAAGTTTCAATGTTGACATGAAGTGCAAGTGTGTTCAATGTGAAGCTTTATCAATTCCCTGTAACACTGTCACTGCCACGCACAGTCTGGGAACTACAGACCCCAGCATTACAGTCACTTCAAGCCAAGCCTTTAGAATTCACCAGTTAGAAGCAATACTCCTCCCTAGAGCTTCTCCCGTCTTAATTAGCACATAAGAAACAAGTAAGACAAACAACTGCCCAGTGTCTCCAAATAATGGTCTCCAAAATATGAGATTTGCAGCCCAGGTTCAGGAACAAGAGAGAAAGAATTGGGTATTAGAAGAGAAACATCTACAGTTTGGAAAACTTCCAGCACTTCTCAACCCCTATGTTGACAGGGGTTACATTGACACAAGGTCAAACATGGCCAAGTTCTGTCCTACACAGGGACACTCTCCAACACCCAGCCTCACCTGATCATCTCTGTCCACCTGACGGCCTCCTGGAGCTCCATCAGCCTCTCCTTGTACTGGTTGCGCTCCATCAGCACTCGGGCCATCTCCACGCGGGTGAAGCGCCGGCGCTGGGCAATGGGAATGCTGTCCTGTAGAGGGGAGGAGCACTGCTTCAGCCAACAAAAGATGCAACAGGATTGAGGTTAGTACAGGGCAAGTCAGGAGACAGACACATATTTGTTAGTTCTCCTCCTGTCCTGCCTAATTACCACCCAATTTCCCCATATAAGGTGCTAGTTCCGGACAGTGAGCTCCAAACTACGGCCCACGGACCTCTGGGTGTTCTGCAAAACCATGGAAATTAGAATGAGCATCACCACCAGCTTAAGCACATGCCCCCCCCCACACACACACACATACACACACACACGTCCCGCCCCAGGACTATCGCCAGCACGGTGCTTTCAGAGTCTACAAGGAGTGATGAGAATTGACAGTGGTCCGTTGGTTCAGAAGTTTGGAAACCAAAGTTTTAATCCATTAGCAAAGCCAGTCACAAGCAGCAGGGAGCACCACCTAATGCCATCTGTCCCCTCAGGAGGACTGGAAGAGGAGGTATTCTGTTAGTACAGATGAATAAAGGTAGGACACAGGAAACTAAGGAAAGGCCTTTTTGTCTTTGGTGACACAACCTGACCTTCCAATGAGTGCACAGGTGGCTTTGGGTTGGCAAAAACAGGAATGAGATTCTGTCTGTCTCTTTTGAGGAGTGGAAAATAAGAACAATGTGGCTAAATTGGGAAAAATATCTGCCCAGAAAAAGACTGCAAGGATTTTGGGAACTCATTACTAGGGAGTGGTACTGGGTTGTGCTAGACTGTGGTAATTCCCAAGCTCAGCCTGGCTGGTGAGTGCTGCAGAAAGCTAGAACAGCTCTCATTACCAATTCATTATTAACTAATTAAATTAACCAATTCCACCTCCACCCTCCTTGAACTTTGAATCAAACCTCTATGACCGGTCAAAACAAGAACTGCAAAAATGAAAAGGAATTTATCAATTATTTTTTAAATTTAAATGAAAAAACAGACCTCCTGTCAGTTCAGCTGAAAAAACAACCAGCTCTCTTCAGCAGCTCACCAGCACAACTTGAAAATGTTCCCATCTGCCTAAATTCTCAACAGACCAAGTTCACCCCAATTAAGTCAAGAGATTTAGGCTTAGAACTGAACCTTCTCTGATACGTTGTCAGTAACACTGACAAGCACTGTATCGATTCCCTGTCCCAGCAGGGACACGTACAAGGAAAATCTCTGTTACTGCTTGGTTTGCCTTTTTTTTGGGCCACAGTTGGTCTTTGCTGAAAAGCCTCTATCCCAGTCAAAACAGTTTGAAGAGCTGTGCTAGAAGAACGGCCCATGAATTTTCTCTCTGTGTATTCTGTATCAGGCAGTACTTGCTTTTGGAAAAGAATTAACAAGCAAAACAGCACTAAGACAAGGTGGCAGTCACTGCTGCAAGGCTGGCTGTGTAACCTGGACTTCACTGCACCATGTCCTCACGGCTACAGCTTCACCGCCAGCATGGGGACAGGCTCTTCTGGAGAAGCCTGATAGTTGTAACACCTGAGCGGAACCCCACTGCACACTAGAGTTTAATTCCAAGTTAGGAGAAGCAGATACAATGGGACGGTGCTGAGCAGGGCACTGCTCTGGCATCAGGCTGCAGAGGCCACATCCTGCACAGTGCTACTGCTGCTGGGTCGGCTGCTCTGCTGCGCCACGTTCTGCTTTGGAACTTGTATGAAGATGTATTTCATGGTCATCAGCCACAACTTGTTCACCAGCCTTGCCATCATCACTAACAAAGGCACATCAATCTGCATCTCAGGACACACATATGAAGCGACATAGGTAAGCATATCAACCCCCTTTCCCCGCAGGCATTTTAGTAATGTCATATACCAATTCTGTACAGAGATAGCTGCTTACATCCTCCACCTCCTCTTTGGGCTCTCGTCGGGCAACGATGGCTTCGGATTTCACTCTAGGAAACAGGAAGAAAGGGATCAAACCAGCAAGTGACACCACGGCTGGCCCAGAGGAAGTTTAGGAAGAGAACCAGCTATGGGAAGGTCTGGCTATATCCATCACAAGGGAGAGATCTCAAACCACATGTACCAGATGTACAAATTATGAGATGCTTCTCTGGTATTTTCCCTCCCTCTTGCAGTGTGAGTCTCCAAACAGCTTCACCAACATCACCCCGCTTCTTTCAAACATTTGCTGTGAGCACCAAAATACTGGAACGGTCCAGCCATTTACTATTTCTGAACCATAATTCATGTTCAAATGTTTGATGAGAACATGGGAAAATGCTGGCTTAAGTGCTTCTTCTGGGCTGCTTCTGGTTTCAATGTGATTCTGTGTGATTCAATGCAGTGAAAAAAGCCCTTAATGTGAAGGACAGTTTGCCAAAATGGTAAAGAAGAGAACACCAAATCCCTGATTAAAAAATACTTAAAGTATTTGAGTGCTTTTAATTTCTTTAAACTCTCACATTATGAGACTCAAAAGGCATTTAAAAAATCTGCCTGCTTGCAAGACTACTTTCATTTCAGACATTCTGAACAATAAAGAGACCAGTCTGTATTATTCTTGGTGATTCTGAGCTCAGACTACAGAACCTTCCAGATTTCAGCTGCGGAACAAATCCTGCCCTCTGCCCTGAGCTCCTACAGAGTCAGGCACAGACAGCCACAATGGAACCGTGCTGTTCTGAGCCCCGGGAGGCAGCCTTAATATAGGGATGTGAAACCATCCCAGGCTTTGCTGGGCATTCAGGCTTTGGTTTCTCTTGTGTGAGAGGAAAATAAGAAGTGGGATCTTCCTGTATTGAACTTTAGAATCTCTTCTGCCTCTTCTCATTCTTAACAGAAGCAATGAAACAATTATCAACACGGGCATTTAAATATTGCTTGTGCAACTCTGCATGAGCTCTTTCAGTAAATGAATGGGCATTCACTTCTCTCAGAACTATCCTGGATGCTACAAGGATCAAGCTCTTGGCAGTTTCCTTCAAAACTATTGGTTTTGAAATTCCCTTTTTTTTTTTTTTATTTTTTGGTTTTTAATTGCAAATTGAAACCCTTAAAGCTCCACTCCAGGAAGCCTGGATTTGAAGTTGCTGCTGCAGAATCCTAATTCTGGGGAGGAAAATTCTGGTTTTCTAAGGTTCAATAATCCATTTCAATCCAATAAAAACAATGCAATGCTAAAAATATCTCAGCCACCTACCATCAGCCTTGTCCTACTCTGTAAGGTACCTTGGAATGCCAATGCTAATCCCATGAGTGAAACAGAGTCAAATGAACAGAGGAGGTGGGTTTAGCACTCCTCACTCTCAGCTGCCTGGGGCAGGGGGGTAATCACTCACCTCTTCAGCTCCTCCTCCAGCTCCTTGACTCTGGTTTCTATTTTGGCTTTGGCCTGCTTTGTTGCTTCCAGCTCCCCCTTCAGCACTTCCTGCTCCCCAGACAGCTGGTCCACCTTGGCAATCAAATCATTCTTCACAACGTTCAAAGCATTTCTTAAAGGTGTGAAAGGCACAATAAGCAAAAATGCTCCAAACCAGAAGCTGTCCATAAAACAGACCTTAAACTAAAGTCACAGACACTACAAGGACAGTTGAAACGAGTGTGTTTAACAATTCAGTCCAGCTCTAACTCATGGGAGATTAAATTTTGTGAAGACAGAAATCACCATAATTGGTCAGGATGAGGTTTGTCCATTCCTGTATCCTGACTCTCCTTCAGAAGATGGCAAAACACTGCAGAAGGCAGATGTAGGGTAACCTACTACCTGTGTAAAGTTAAAATCTATTTTTGACAGAATGAAGGTCTGAAACACACCTTTCAAAACTGCTGCCATCTGCAATTGTGGATAATTGTGGTCGATGGCAATAGAAATATGCATTTCCAATCAGCTCCAAAATATCTTAAAATTATAAAATCAGCAACTTCCTATCACAGTTCCAGCTCTCCCCTGGGAATAAATACTCTGTCTTCTCCTTCCTGGTTGTTCAGCCTCAGTAGCTCGTTTGCCAGCCTTTCTCAAAAACTAACTCCATTATGTTGTCTGCTTCTCCTCTATCAACCATGAAATCTTTGAGAACTCTTCTCTCACAAAATTTTCTTTTCAAAGAACAAACCTTGCAAATAAAAAGTTATGAACAGAAACATCCTCACAGAGGCTCAGACCCACAACTGGATTCCCACAGAAGTTAATTTAAAGCTTGCCATTGATCTCAGGTGGCATCGGCCCCTACCAGCACATGCCCAGAGGCTTCTCCCAAGTGCCTGCAGAAAGGAAACAGTTAGGAAATAGCTCAGGAGAGCAATTCCTCTTCTACAACTGAAGGAACAAGTATTCAGGAGAACCCATCAGAGAAACAAGCGAGCCCCTGTGAGGCACGAGTTCTGGCCAAGACCTACTTCAAGGTGACATCATTTATAACCAGGCAGGCAGATCAGAGAATGTGACAGTTCCTTACTTGGTCTCCAGCAGCTGCGAGTTCTCCAACAGCAGATTCCCCACTTCTTTGCCCATTCCTGAAAAGAAAGGCCAGGCAGTTTTCATCTGCTCTCTTAGAAACATGAAGCTTTTGTAGCACTGCCTGACTCATGCTTGAGGAAGAGAAATCACCTTTGTTAGGCTTCCCTAGGCTCCTGTGTCCTGTGTGGAGAGTGGAGTGTCTCTCACTGAATGACCAAACAACACCAGCAAAGACACCCATGTGTCCTGTAAAGAGCCCAAATTCAGACCTAGCTTCTCATCCCGACCTTCACAGACCTCCTTGAGAGGGACAGAGGGGAGAGCTTCCCTAACACCAATCAGGGCAGTCAAGGTGGTAACTCCTGGTTCAGCCATCAGCTATTGCAAAAGTTTTTTATCATTCCTCAGAGAAAGAAGGTAGAGTTTATGGGTTTTTCACAAAGGACAGCAGAACACTGCCCAAGTTGCTGTCCTGATCTGCACACCAGTGATTTTTTTCCTTTCCTAGTATTAGCCAAATTTTCTGTTTCTCAGTACAGATTTGGGATCATGACTGCGACCAGTTTCATGCACATGAAAGGCTTCCCATTACCAGCCTTCTGCTAGAGCAATTTTAATAGGACTGCAGCTTGTCCCTTGCTCTATCTACCTTGAACAGCTTTCTCACAGATGTTTAAAATGTGAAGTCTCAGTCCCATCACTTCAGATCCACACTCAACACCTACACCAGACACTCTGCACTTGCCCTTGGGCACCCACGTACAGCTGCAATCTGCAGACTGGGTTACAAGAACGTTGACAAATCTGGGGCTAAGAGCGAAGGCCAAATTCTGTAGTTCATAAAACCAAAGGAGTTTAGGGACCAAAAACATATCTGGGTTGTTTCCTGCTGCCAGGGACTTGCTGAGTCCCAGGGTCAGCTTTTGCCTTACAGAGGGGGATAGAGGCCACCTGAGAGCTGAAGGCAAAGAGGCCTCTCCCTGTTGGGGGACAGTGCTGAGCGGTGCAGCTCGTATCTCACCACGGGTCCCAGAGCATGAGGAAGTCTTCCCCACCATCAGTGTTTGTGCTGCAGTGCTCCTTGTCCTGCCCTCTGAACTACCTCTTCCTTCATAGCAAAGACATCAACAGTTTTCATGATACTTCATTTGCCAATTAATTAGTATTTGCGAGAAAATTTAGAAAACACAAATTTTAAGTAAATGAAAGTTAGAGGAACATGGCAGCGCATGAGAAGTGAGAACACGTCACAACACTCCAACATACAGATCCTCTTCCCACAGTTAAATGGGATGAATTTATGATGGCAAAAGCAAATTACCAGCAAGAATGAGTAAGAAGTAGCATTTTCAAAGAGCTTTTGAAAAATCAGTAGACAGATAATTAATCACTTTGATGTTTCAGGCAATGTGTTCTTTGGATGCTGTGTCAAAGAATATTCCAACAGCACAAAAGTGGGAAACACTAACTGCAGTGCAAACTGCAGAGTATTTTGGGTTGGTACGGTGAAGGATCTATAGCCCATTTTTTTGTGGCATGCTGCTTGTTGGTCAGAAGACTCAGAAGTCATCTGTTTATTACACTGTTTTCTTGCTAATTTTAAGTGACTCTACAAATAATCAAAAAAATATTTAGCCTGTAAGGCATTAAATTGGCACAAGGACATTACAGGTGCTGAGGGACATCAAGGGAAATAGATCGTCCCCATCTTTTTGGATTAAATCATCTTCCTTCCCATTCTTGAGTCATACATCCCTCTCTGCAGCTGTTTTTGGGAAAGAAAGGAATTCTGGGAATTCCATGAGCTATCATGCCAGAACACAGCATTCCATCAGTATCCTCATCGTAGCTTCTACCTTACTCGGGTGTGACACAGTGACAACCCAATGCTTTAACCAGTCAGAGGTCTGAAAGGCTGGTCTGGCAATGAAGAACTGGATGAAGCCTCCCAGAGCCGTGGAATGGGCACTGTGAGATAACCTTCCTTGCGCAGGCTGTAGTAGGACAGCCCTGCTCATGGGAAGAAAACCCAGTGTGGAGTGACTATAAGGACTCTTCACCCCTTTGTGGTGTGGAGTAAAGGGAAGAGAGACCTGGGCAGAGCCCTGTCTAACAGAGCTCATCCTACACCATCCTCCTCCCACAGTCAGGCAAACAGTGTGAAGCATCAAAGTGGAGAATCCCCAAACCACCTCTACAGAGCAGCTGCATCCCGCTTCTTGGAGAGGTGATGCCACCACCACAAAAAAACAAACCAAGGTAATGCAAGACATATGGAGGGATGGTGAGTGAATGGAAGGAATTCGGAAAAAAATGCATGTTAAAAAAAAAAGAAAAGGACAAAAATAAAAAAGAAAAAAGGCCTTCGCCTTACCAAAGAAATCATCCCGTACTATGAGAGCCATCCCATACGAGAAAGGGAACAGAAAGAGATGGGGACAAAGGGGAAGAAAGGAAGAGAAAAAAAAGCAGCCATTAAGTACCAGTTTGTAAACAGCAAACAGAGCAGCTCATCAGCACGTGTACAATGTGTGGTGCCAGCACACGTGAGAAAGTAATCTTGTTCTACTGCAGCCTAACCTAACAGGGACTTCTACCTGAGAGCATCACAGAATGGTCTGGGCTGGAAGGGACCTTAAAGACCACGTCATTGCAACCCCCTGCCTTGGGTAGGGACACCTTTCACTAGCCCAGGTTGCTCCAAGCCCTGTCCAACCTGGCCTTGAACAATTCCAGGGATAGGGCAACCACAGCTTCTCTGGGCAACCTGTGCCAGGGCCTCACCACCCTCATTGTAAAAAAATTCTTCCTTATATCTAATCTAAATCTCCCCACTTCTGGTTTAAAACCATCACCCCATGTCATATTGCAACAGATGTCAGGATGAGCTTGAGATGACCTCATCTGCTTATTCCATCTTCATCATTTCCCCTGTATGACACATCCTTGAGTTTCCCATCACCACAACAAAGGCAGGTCAACAGACATTATGAACAGGGTGAGGGAAGGACAGTGGCAGGGAGGAAAAATAAAAGAGGGTGAGTATCAAAGCTTTAATCTGGCCTAAAAAGGCCCAAATCCACCTCCACACTGCAACAAACTCCAACTCCACTTCAGTGGGAGGTTTTCTGAGGAATGTCCACAAAAAAAGTGGCTTACGGTAAAAGCAGTTTGAATGAAAAGAAAGGATGATGCTGTCCCTTTCTTTGTACCATCACAGAGCCCTCACAGCAGTGCCGGGCACAGGGATGGGGCAGAGCTCATTGCACACCTCATCACACCACTGCAGCTGCCAGGTCACCACAGGGAAAACTTCACCCAGTTTACACTGAAATCAAGAAAGCTCCCCTTGACATCAACTGAAATCACATAAAGGCCCAAGTGTGTTCTACAGGACAGTGCAGAGGATGGCCCTAGGGCAGCAAGCACCTTCTCCAAACAAAGGACAGAGCTATCAGTGACAGATGAGCCATCACCCAACTCCTGCCAGAAAGACAGAAGCTTTGTCACTCTAACCCACTACCACTATACCCTAAGAGGGCTGGTATTCACCAGGTAACCCCTACAGCAATAGGCATACGGAGGGACTCCTCACAGCACAGTGAAGAGGAGAGGACAATGGGACTTTCACTCAGCCTGTCCCCACCCAACTTCTGGTACAAGCACCCCTCCTGGCAGAAAAAAAAAGCCATTTGAGCCCCAAGCCCTTGAGTGACAGGTCATTGTGACACTGTGGAGCAAACCTGCCCACAGCCACACAAGGAGAGCAGGTTGAAAGGCAGCAGGAGTGTGAGCAGAGCGGGGACCTCCCGCTGTGGGGACCCACCAGTGTGAGGCAACAAAGCGAGGCGAGGTGGGAGAAGTCTGCAAAGCCAACTGTGTTTGGACAAGAGCAGGGGAGTATCACACGTGTATACCACATCATCCGACCTCAACCAAGAGAAAAGAAACAAGAAAGGGAACTGAGCAGGAGATACACACCTGAGAACTCCCCTACGCGCCATGTCCAGCGAAGCACAGAGAGACAAGGGAAAAAGGAAGTGAAAAAGGATCAATCAGTGACTGAAACCAACAAAATCAAAATTTTGTTCAAAAAAAATTAACAATGATTCAGCCATTTCAATGTCAAAAGGCATGAAATAGTAAGGACAGGACCTGCCATGGCTGTCGATGGCATGACTCTACATACAGGACAGAAAAAAAAAAACAAACCCAAGGGAAGGTAAATTGTGGTACGACTGCAACCACACGGCTCAGCTACCCCCAGCTTTCCAGACGTGGATCCCAGGCAATCACATCTTCGTGGATTGGGTAAACCTTTACTTTCTCATCCTCTCTTTACTTTGTCATGTACCACTAAACGCTCAACAGCTCATTCCACTACCTCTCACTTTCCCCTCCTCTTGTGATTTTAACAACTAGATCCTCTAATAATAACTGTGCTCTGCAGTGACACTTCATCTTGCAAAAGACAATTAGTTGCATTTAAAACCCTTTTGCAGTGCTGGGACTTGGTTTGATAATCCCATTTCAACTTCTGCATACAACACTTACTGTTAACATGGCAGCATTTCTGTCTTCATCACGGAATGCAAATGCAAAGCAAACATAGTTGGTTATCCTAAACCTGAATCACAGAATCATTGAATGGTCTGGGTCTGAATGATCACCTCATTCCAACCCTCTCTGCCACGGGCAGGGACACCTTCCACTAGCCCAGGTTGCTCCAAGCCCTGTCCAACCTGGTCTTGAACACTTCCAGAGATGGGGCAGCCACAGTTTCTCTGGGCAACCTGCTCACCACCCTCACAGTAAATGACCTGCCCACTGAGCACAACCAAACTGATAGTGCTCCTCTGTGTCCCAAAACACCTGGGATAGGGAAGAGCAAGAAGGGGGAGCTGATACAAGGGGGGTTAGGAGAAGGGGGAGATGGGATAAGGGAAGCCTACCCAGGATTGGGAGGTAAGAACCTGTGATTAACAAGAGAATATGCAGGAAAACAGCCAACTCAGTGCTCCTAAGGCTGTAGGAGAAAGAAGGGAATTTGGTCCCCAACTACCAGTAGTAAATGATTGTTCTCACTCCACATTTTTCTTGAGAATACTTCCTGTACAAATTCATGTATGTAAAGCTGGATTAGAGTGGAGGGGAAACTCATATGTTTCATTTGTCATTTTATATTTGAAAACTGCAATGAAGAGTGCCAGTTTTGTACCAGGAGATGCTGGCCACTTTGCAGATATCCAGAAGGAATAAATGGGATTTTCCATTCCAGAATCAGACTTGCCTGCCAGACACTTGTCGAGGGTAATTTCTGTAGGTCCTGTTTTTAAGGTCCTCTTTTAATGAGATTTCTCTTTCTTTAAGAAACTGAGACAAAAAAAGAGACAATGCTTTGCAGATTGATTGCCAAGTTTTGAGAGACTGGAGGAAGTATTACGCCTTCAGTTAGGTGGGGTTAAATTCATTAATTCATTTGATTTATAGAGAGAAGTGAGCTCCAAATATGACCAAGAGAGAACTCTTTCAGCTTCTGGATCTTGTTTCTTACATGACATTCATAAAGCACCATTTCCTCAGTGTCTCTTCAGACTCAAAAGGTACAGCACAAAGAGAGAACATTCTACCTAACAAAAAAGGCAAAATTTTGGATAATGTTGACAGATTTGTCAGCATCACGATCTAGCCCTTTGCTTGCACCTCTGCCAGACTTTCTTTTGTGCTTTCTATTGTGCAATGCAAAAAAAAAAAAGTACCAGACTCATTTCTTGTTGAGAGACATGACCCCAAGATCTCTCTGTGCTTCCTCCCTTTGTACAACCCGGCAACACATGTGTTCATTTTAAAGAACGCTTTTCTGTGCACAGAGTCAGTAGCCAGAACTCAGCAAAAGGATTAATTAGATCAATGTTTTGCACAAAAAAAAGGCACAGTCCATCTCCCAGGTTTGAAAAGGAATCAGGAGAAGCCTTCCTATTCTGCTGGCCTGCCATGGGATCACCTGCAAGGGTTCTGCTGCTCTGCCTAAGCCAGAAATGGTACCAGCACAGAAATGTCCTCCTCGTAAGCCACACCGTGATCTTCAGGAGCCACACTTACATAGGCCCCATTCAACAAAGTCTTTGTACATTTTTATTGCAAGTGGTAACTGCCAAACAACAGACATCTCACCACCCTGAAGTCTCTGGGCAGCCCTATAGCTGGAAGAGGAGAAGTTTCTTTGACTTTAACTGAGACTGCGGTGAACAACGTTGCAAGGTTTGGGCAGCTAAAAGCTTTGGTTTTTTGATAACAACAGTCTGCATTTCTCCCTGATTACTGGGTCAGGCTACAGGGTAATCCCAAAGGAAAGCGGATTCCCAGAAGGTAGGCTTCCAAAGTGGGAGGCAGGTTGTCCAAAGCAATTCATACATCAAGCAAGTAATTTTCCAGAATACTAACTCTTTCAAGCCAATAACTCCTGATGCCCCAGTCATTCTGGGGGGAGAAGGAAAGCAGCAGTTGGCACAGTTATTAGTGGAGAGAGTCAGAGAATCAACCAAACACTCCTTGATAAGGAAGCACTTGAGCACCAAGATAAAATAGATAGTCAGTGGCAAGATTATCCATGGTTTTAGTGCTTTGATTCTGCTAGGAAGAGAAGTCCCAATAATGTAAGGAGCTGGCTAACCAAAATCCATTCCACAGCAGGTAGAGAGAGGAAGCTTTAACCATCACAGGTAGTTCCTACTGTCAACCTTCTCTTTAAGCAGGAGCCCCAGCCCTTCTGCAATGGCCGCTATCATCCAGAGGATTCTCAAACCTGGAAATCTTGCTTTTCCTTTAAAATATTTAATTTTGTAAGTATCTGCACATGTTGGCTCCCATCACCACAGGCAGAGAAAGCCTGTGTGTTCATCCTAAGTCTTCTACAGACGTTTTTCTTCTGGCAATCTTGAGTTACAGGTGAAACAATAAATGATTTGATGCTTCAGGCCATGGTCATCAACCCATGCACGAGGCCTCTCTTGCATGCTGCAGGACTAGCATCATGATTTAAAAAATCAACCCAAACCTATCAATATCAAAAAGCATTCTGACGGCGGTCTGGATCTTGTTCTTACATTCCAGTCACACTATCGCCTAGAATAGTAACAATTTCACAGATATTTGTCTTAGATGAAGTAAGAAGTTTTGTATTAACCTCCTTTTCAGTCTTCAGTCCACATCTTCAAGGTTAAGTTTTTGGTGAATAGGGCAAAATCTACCCCCTCTGCAGAAACATACCCTTTTAGAAGGTCCTTATACAAGACACATCAAAGCTGATGCAAGTACCTTCCTAATTTGTGCAAAGGTCAGCTGCTGCAAATGTGTGACATGATTCAGCTCGCCCTGTTCTGGACACATATATAGAATCAATCTTAAAAGTTTATTCTTAAGCAGCTCTGCATTGGTAAACACCAGAAAGGAAACGTTCACTTTCAAATCAGATCTCTTGCTACCAAGTGCACAGAAAGCATGTTGCTGGAGTCCTTGTGTCTCCTAAGACTCCTTAAGCTCAGCAGTAAGGTGGAAAGTGAGATACACAGTTATAAACTCCGTCAGCTGCCCGTGTCACCTGAGCATTCAAAGACCACTTGTACTGTCCTGATGCAGGAAAAGAGTCAGCAGGAATTAAGAACATGCTTAAATTCTGTCAGAAATTAAGGTCTAGATACTCAAGCGTCTGACAAAAAACGTAAGGAGAGCGCTCAGAGTGCTCCCTGAGGCAAAGTTGCTTCTTTGACTGCTGCAGAGTCCCAGCCAGGAACACAGAACACAGCCCAGCTGCAGGTATTACAAACACTTTCAAAACCAGCCTAAAAAGTTAATTACTACTTTTACAGTCTTAGACAGACTGTAAAAGAGTAAATATTGCATTACAGACCATAATATTTCCACATAAACTTCAAAAACTTAAACAGAGGAGTTACTTTCTTACAAATTTCAAACAAACTGTTTATTCCAAGCACAAAATTACTGGAGGGAGCAATTTTTGGGGCAGAAGGAGCAAATTTTGGCTTCAAACTATTTGTCTGGGAGTATCTTATAGAAAAATAACTTATGCACATAAAGACAACACAAATAAAAGATACCCAATAGCTGAGGTTATTTTCTAAGTGAGTGTTACTGTATTGCAGGTACATGCTTCAGTCACATTTATCTCAACTTCCAGGCATTTTTTAAAAAGCTAAACATCCAAGTTCTGGGAAAAAAAAGAGAATTTAAGTGTTTCTGGAAGCTTATTATATTGTCATTGTACCAGAGAAAAGAGAATGGTTCTAGCAAGGTTTTACCTAGCAGATCTGCTCCTTCATCAACATCTCCAATGACCTCGGACCCAGCTGTGGACAGTTCATGGTACAGGGAGTCTGTGTTGATGCCAAATGCTTTGTTCACAATCCCCTGTGTTGGGCTGTTGTTGGAAGCAAAAAAACAGAAGGAATCTTGTTACCTGGCAACATTTAAGCTCAAACATTTGTCTTTGAGATATTGAGCATCCCAGACCGTCACAATCAAAAGCCCGAGAGCACATTCCACCTGTTCACCATGGGATTCTTCTGAAAACTCCATTGAAGTCCTCCGTGCACTTATGGGTCACAATTGCTCTGACCAGCCTCACCTGGCACTCACACCCACCCCCACTGGTCCCAGGGCTCCCTCTGATCTCAGGCCTGTGCCTTCAGTCCTTCTCTGAGCTGCAACTGCCTTCAGCCCCATCTCCTGCTGCTCCTGGGTAGCACTGGGACCGAATTCATGCCCTTGCCTTGTCTGCTGACAGAACCCATTACCAGTGCTCCGCTCTCCCTGCTCAGAGCCTGCAGGACTGGGATGCTTGGGGTTACCTCTGCTTGTCCTCTCTTGTGGGACAGTCTTGCCTCTCTCCTCAAACACTTAAAAAAATAAAAACTGAGAAAAGCTTGAGGTTTTAAAATGGAATTCAGAACTGAGCTCTTATTAGACAAATGCATCTCCTCCCTCTTCCTGAGAGCTTACGCTCATGTCCTCTTTGCTTGTCTTGAACCTTCTGTTGCTCCATCATCTCTCCATCCTCCCTGACTCAGCAAGGCAAACAAGCCCAGTCCTGGGTCAGCTGGACAGATTCTGCTGCAGATCACCAGCAGGCATCTGCCTTTTTGGAGAACCCAAAGCAGGTCAGGACCTCTGACACTGACACTAGGCAGAACTATGTCAAACAGCTGCCTTGTGAGCTCAGTGTGAGCCAGAGAATCTGTTCCTCACTCTTTGTGAAGCCAAGTGACAGAGCACACAGGGAAAAGTCATAAGCAGTACCTGCTACCCGTGCGTTCCAGGCGGGGGTCCTGACACATGTCCAGCTCTGGAGTAGAGTCAATGATGTCCTGGACATCGGACCACTCATCACTGCTGCCCATCCCTAGGTAAGACAGTACATGTCATCTACAGGATCAGGACTTTCACAGGATGGTGTTTCTTGAAGGGAATTTTACAGCTTTGAATATCGAGGCTTGAAAATTTCATGGTGCCACCTTCAAAGTCTTAAAATCAGAACAGAAAGTGACTGAAGGAACAACTGCAGAGCAGGAACAACATCATAAGCATCCCCTCACCCCCACCATAACAGAGCATCACCAAAGTCATTGCCCTGAATACCCAATAAAATGGGATAAGCAGAAATACTTCATCCATTGAGGTAAATTCCAAAAAACCCCTTTTATCTGCTGTCATGGTTTGAGATAGCCCCAAAATCCAATTCCCTAGCTCTATTCCCCCTCCCACATCTCAACTTAATGTGAGATGGGTTTTTCCAGACAAAACACACCAGACTCAAAGGGGGGGAAAGGGAATATATTACAATGACTGTACAAATAAATACCATATCACATTATACACACGATCACAACTATCTCTACCATGACATATGTATTTACACTGATCAGATCTCTTCTCCCCTCCAAATAAAAGTCCAGGAGGGAAAGAAGGACAGATCCCTTCCAGTCCTTAAGCAGCAGCATCTTCTGAGGCAGCAGTCTGTCTGTGTTCTCCACATGCAGCAGCTGATAGCTGGATTTCTGCCAGCACTCACGAGGGAGGTATCCAAACCTCTCTCAGCCCCATCGCCTCCAACCGAGGGGTCTTCCGTGGGCTTCGTAACCCCAGACAAGGTCGTTTCACCACGTCATATCACGAAGACACAGGGGGGTCTTCGTGACGGTCTGGTATCTCCAGGAGACTCAGCTCCTTGCAGGGCCTCTGTGCCCTGTCTCTCAGGCTGCCACCGTGGCAGCAGTGCAAGGGGGGGGAGCCAAGGTCAACTCCCCCCGCATTCCATCTGGCCGTCCCGGTCCAGCTCCGGGACGTCTTTTGAGCTTCTCAGCTCCTCTCTCTCTCCGGTGCTGCACGTCTAAAACTCTTCTCCTTAATAGGAGTCCATCTCCCTCTTTTCTCAGAGGGATCTCAAAGGAGTTTTGGGGGGCTGGTACAGTCTTACCCCCAGAACTCTGTCTCTCAGGCTGCTGGCTCTCTTTTTCCCAGCTCTCCTTCCAGGAGTCCTTTCTCTGGTGCTGCATGTTGCTTCTGCTGCTCCTTCAGTTCAGGTGTTATCTCTCCTGGCTCTCTGCCACCGTTTCTCTGGTCAGTGCTGGCTGCTGCTCTGCGCCCATGGAGAAAACATCTCCCAGCATAACTACAGGCACCTAGCCCAGCTTTATGCTGTTCCAGGTCCCTGCAGCCCCCAGCCAGGGGCTGGGAGGCCCCAGAGGGCCCGAGGGGCTCAGAGCCCCTTCCTCGTGGTTCTACAACATGGCCACCTCTCCTCAACAACTCATCTCTTCCGGTGAGCTTGTGAGATGTTGACATTTTTGCAGGAGCGCCCATTGGACAGAACTCCAAAACTTCCAGGGGTTTCCACCCCTTGGGGTCTACCACTTTTCTTAGCCTCTGGGGGAACACAAAATTCAAACCATGACATCTGCCAGTAAAAACTCTTCCATCCCCATGCAGCATTTGCTGAGATGGAGGGCAAGACAGTGATTTTCTGTACAGCTTGATAGAGATTACTGTTGTTAGGAATTGCCACTATTTAGTTTTACTAGAAATAATTTTTCGATACAAATTCTCAAGTCTACAGTGGTTTAGATACCCATTAAGGTGAAATTTCACTTCAAATCGATACATGAAATCTGCTCTGGATTCTGCATAATCTACAGCCTCAAGCCAGTATTTAAAGAATAAGGAAATTCTTCCTCTTGTTAGATCTCATTTATTGGATACCAAACTCTTCAAAAGCTCAGACTTGCACCTACTCTAAACAAGAAACACAAACACAAACACAGTGTCTGTTCACACAAACACAGTTCCTGTTCACACAAGGGATTCCTGAAGGCTTAAGGACCTAATTTGTGAATTACATTAGTCCCTCAACGACACTAGATGTGAAATTTTTGACCTTTCCAAACGGTCTCAGTAGCAAATATACATAGCCCATGACAACCGGAGTGTTGATTTGATTCTTTCAGGCTGGCATTGTGCACCAAATCCACACTGGAAGACAAAGCATGATGTGGATCTGCTGCCAAAGCAAGGCATCCACACCCAGCAGGTCTCACACAAACACCGCCTTTCTCAGCTTTATTTTATCAAGCTGGGAAGCTTTTCTGCAAATACCTTTGAGTACCCTTTTCGGTAGCTCAGCTCTAAGGTATGTGCATCACTGACAGACATTTTAATTACAGATGCATAAAACACAAATTAAAATTCAAGTATGTGAGTTTCTTCTCAGCAGGGAGAGCTGATTTTGCTTTAGGCATGAGAAACACAGCTGAAAGGTTGAATATGCAAAACACACAGGAAAGACACAACTGTCTGCCTTGAGCAGATCCCACAACATCATACTTCCACCAAGGAAAAAAGCTTCCACATGCACAGTGACCTCACAATTGCACAGATACAGAAGAGAGATGACTTTGACCCAAGAAAGCTGTTGATAGTAAATGAGCTTGTAAAGCAGCAACTGTAAAAATCAGGGTATTTACAGGGCATTCAAATTACTGACATCCATGCTTAGCTTCTCTGATACAAGTGTTGCATGGCCTTGCCTTGGCCAGGATCACAGCCAGAACACAATCTAACAGCTGGCTGTGCAGAACCTGTATGTTTCTACAGACAACTACCCTAGTTTCTGGCACATGGACATTTGTGACCCTGGGACCCCCTCAGGAAAATACAGACTGGGACTCGGTCACAGCAGTTCTCATTCAGTGCTACAGCAAAAGATGTTATATGCTGGTTTATAGTCTTAATTTGTTAGGAACCAGCTTGTCAATGTTAGCAGAGGAATTTCTGCTTTAGTAATAACTCAGTTATAACTTCTGCTTTCCAAGTAATAACTTGGGAAAAAAGATGATCAGCTAGTTCAGATGCCAACCTGAGAGATCTATGCTCATCTCTATGCTTCTGCAGATTTTTTTAGTGACCTTCAGCTAGTCTTACAGTCCTTTTCTATGTTAAGTTCACGACCTGTAAAACAATTCACTTCTCATTTCTGATGGCCACTGCAAGTCTGAATACAACCCAGGGTGAGATCTGCTCAGACACTGCATGGGCACAGCTGCATTAAACAGCACAGAAAAGGCCTTTTATCATGTTATTACACCATTTATTTATTTACACCATATATTTATTACACCTAAGGCGACTGAAGGCCCACACTAAGACCTTAAACCATCTTGTCCAGGAGCTGCTCTATGCTGATGATGCTGCCCTTGTCGCCCACACAGAAGCAGCTCTGCAGCATTTAACATCCTGCTTCGCAGACGCTGCTGAGCTCTTTGGGCTGGAAGTCAGTTTAAAGAAAACAGAAGTTTTCTATCAACCAGCACCTCAGGAAGTCTTCCTTCATCCCCATATCACCATTGGCGAATCAGTGCTCAGATCAGTCCAGCAGTTTAATTACCTAGGCAGCCTCATCTCCTCGGATGGTAAGATTGACGGAGAGATAGGCAACAGGTTAGCAAAGGCATACAGTGCCTTCGGAAAGCTTCATAAAAGAGTTTGGCGAAATAAACACTTGAACAAAAGTACAAAGATCAGTGTTTACAGAGCCACAGTGCTGTCTACTGGATCTGAATCATGGGTCATCCACCGCCACCACCTGCGACTCCTAGAACACTTCCATCAACGCTGTCTCCGCACAATCCTAAACATCTACTGGTCAGATTATGTGACTAATACATCTGTTCTAGAACAAGCAGCAGTCACAAGTATTGAGGCCATGTTGCTGAGAACACAGCTGTGTTGGGCAGGGCACGTCTCCAGGATGAAGGACCAACCACCGCCTCCCTAAGATCCTGCTTTATGGTGAACTTGCCACCGGCTGCCGCATGAGAGGAGCCCCAAAGAGGAGATACAAGGACTCCCTGAAACAACATCTCAGCCTTGGCCATATTGATCAACATAACTGGTCTACTCTGACCTCCAACCGGGAGGCCTGGAGACACACCATCTATAACGCTGCTGATGCCTTTGAGAAAGCACACAGGATCACCCTTGAGGAGAAAAGGCAACGCAGAAAGAATCGTGCTTTGCAGAATTTACCACCTAAGGAGTCTTTCTGCTGTGCCTTTTGCAATCGGACATGCCTGTCTCATATTGGCCTTTTTAGCCACCAGCACGCTTGTGACAAACATGGGTAGAGACCTTTCCCAAATCTTCATTCGCAAAGCCCAGCCATGATGATGATGATGATGATGATGATGATGATGACACCATTTATTTAACAGCCTGGTGCTAAAGCTTAGGTGATGGTTTTCCTGATGAGAAATCATTAATTCAAATTACTAAAGGACTCTGGGAAGTGGACAGAAAACAACTGTAACTTCCAAAGATTTGGGGGTGTTCTTATATGACAAAGAAACTAAAAGAATCAGCTCATTTATCTGAGAAAACCAGCTGGACACAATTGCTATTTTTAAACACATCAGGGTGTGGGATAAACACACAGAAAGGAAAATAATTATTTAATCTGAAAAATTTGGCATTTGAACAACTGGATAAAAATACTTATGAATAAATCCAGAGAGAAAACTAAATACAAGCTTTTAACTGTCACATTGATGAGGTCCAGAAACAGCTTCCCAAAAGTTCAGCCCAAGATGGGACTTGACTGCTTATGAAAGAGGTTCCACAACATGGATGAATGACACTGCAGGGCACTGAACTCAATAATCTGTCCCCATCCTGTGAATTTGTGAAATATTCATATTACTGATGTTTCAAAAACTTGCTATGCAGAAAACTGCTACCATCCAATTAACCCTGCCTCACTCATGTACCTTCCATGTCAGGCTTCCTCAAATTCCATACTTACAGTGCAGTCACCCAGCCTCTCCCTGTAAACAGAGACACACAAGCATTGGGAAGTTGATTACAATAATGACAAGCTGCCATACCTATGCTGACATTCCTCATCTCCTGTGTGACCTGGACTTCCATGTTCCGGCTGTTCCGCTTTTCTCGTGCCCTCTTATTGCTCTTGGTGGTGCCATTGGTGTACTCGCTGATGGGCTGGATGCTCTCGTTCAGAGGGGTGACAGCAGCAGAGGGCACGGATGACGTGGGAGTGTTGGACTTGGTTCCCGTGGTGCTTGGTGTGGCAGCTGCTGAGGACTGCCCAGATTCAGACATCTCATCCTGGGGGCACTGTGGCAATTCCAGGGAGGGGGAAGAACAGAAAGGGAAAAGCACAGCTATACATTTCAGTTAATGTCCCATTTGTTGGGGTGTGGCTGCCTTAAAGCATTATGGAGCATGGCTCTTGCTCGCTGTACCCGCTACATGTCCAGCGCTTACTGGTGACACCGGGCACTGCCACCACAGTGAAGCAAAGAGTTCTCGTGCTGAACTCAGCAAGCAAATCCCATCTGTGAAAGGGCTGATACCCTTCCTCCTTCACTACGGAACACTGCTCTTTACAAACCACACCAGTTTGTGACCTCAGGAAAGATGGCCTTATCACAAGTGAAAAGCACCTGCAGCTCACACTGACTACGGTAAAAGCTGAAGGGCTTTGGCACTTGCAGCAAGCCAGGCCAATGTTTTCCAAGGCTGGAAGGCACCATGGATATCACTTGGGAAGGATCTGAAGTGGCCTCCTAGAAATCTTGGCTGATGTCATTACTGTAAGCCACCAACACACTTGGATGAGAGAACAGCAAACTGGTTTTGCCACTAAACTGCAGAAGCGAAGCAGACACCAAGCTGGGATGGTCTGGCTTGGCTGGTACAGGAGACCTACGTCCACAAACCACCTTATGCAGAGCTAGCCAGGCATGGGTCCAGCTGGAGAACACAGCAGAAATAGGTGTGGTTTCCCACTTCCAAATGGCAGGATGACAAGACCCAAGAATTCCAAAAGCTGACAAATCAACAGAGGAGATGGATTCCCAGTATGGAATATGCAAAACAGCTCTTGGGTTTACAGACATTATAGCCCCATTTCTTGTACCACTATCTCCGGAGAAACAGGGAGGCTTTAAGGCTCTGGCGGGGTTTTACAGTGTGACCTGTGTTTGTCAATTAAAACAGCACTCCTTCACTCAGCCAAGGAACATCCTGACCAGTGCTGTGATCATTCCCAGACCCAAATGAGATCTCCCCACTCTTCATGGCAGCCCACTCTAATTACTGCCAGAAGGGAAGTGACAAAATTAATGCTGAGAGTTATATGTGACAGTGAGTTGACATTGGGTGCAGTGACATTCAGAACCTGCACGTCCAGATCCAGTTTTCATCTTCACCACTGGCCTCCCACCTCCTGTGCAACTACTACAGAGATCCTGGTTCTGCTCCGAGGCTGTTCTGAGTCCCCCCACCTGTGACACTGTTTCACTTCACTCATTTGGAAGTCTTGTTCCCTTATTCTAATAATACTTTCACAACATAACAAAAAAATCCAAAATGGGATGAGCGAGAAGACTGAAAAAAATGGTGACTTAACCCTTTGCAGCCATATTTTTTTTTAATCTGGAATCTTACTAAGATCTTCCTTTAATTAGACTGGCCTCTATATGCTTATCTTAGAATGCCCTGCTGAACAATGCATCATGGAAACCAAAGGTTTTACATTGCACCTGAGCATTTATATTGGAAATTAAGTTTTTTTAAAATGGTGTTACCATTAAATGCAATCTACGTTTTGTACAGTTTCTGCATTTTTAGTCCAAACAGCACCCATATTCCCACATGAATACCCAAACTGTCTCCCTGCACATTTGCTGGTTTCAGCATCAAGACTGAGATGAGGACTTTGCACTTAGGCTGCTACACGTGAAAATGACACTTCCCACCTCTACTTCATATTCCTGGTTCAGGAGCTACTTTCCTAATATGTAAAGAAAAAAAAAATCAGTGGGGTTTTTGAGAACAAATAGGATACAGTAAGCCTTGGACTACCTCAACTGCAGTTTGCCTGCTGTGCTTTCTGATGTACAAAGGGACAAAGAGTATCAAGTGTGAAGTGCAACCATGAAAACTCTTTCCCCGAACAAAACTGCTGTTGGATGAAAGACTTCAGGGATGCCCTTGCACCCACTGTGAGTCTATGAGAATAACCAAAGTCCAGGAACACCTCAGCATAGTAAGAGACACCCAGGTCGGTCCACATGTCATTCCTTCTTCTTATGAACCAGATGTCATTCAAAACTCCTGGATCACCAGTGTCTATAGGGTGGTATTTGTAACAGAGATATCCTGTAACTTCTTGTTTATTGGCGTAACCTGCCCCTCACCCAGAGCACACCAATGAGAAATTACCCTGGTCTTCCACTTACTCTTTGGTTATAGATCTGAGTCTTATATTTACCTAGAAAACGTACTTTATCAACCTAACAGCCTGCATTGGAGAAATTCCTCCCAAATATAAATACTACCAACATGCTCATCTTCACAGACCAGGAGCTGGTATCTCCATTCTATTGTCTGACTGCTCTGTTAATGCTAAATATTACACTAAGAGTACAGCTGTCCTCTACAGCACAGAAGGCATTCTCCAAAACCCATAGCTCACCCAAAGAATACTCTCCACAGTCACCACTTACCTACAGCCATACCTGTCAACCTCCTAAACATCAACTGTGTAGTAGTGACCTCCAAAATGCATTGCAAAGGCCCAACATTCATAGCAGTCATATTTCACCATGAGAAGCCACAACTGTATGGTTATAACACTGAAAGCATAGTACATAAAAACAAAAATGTTAAGAACTTTCATCTCCAAAACACTGTATAAAATAAACGTACAGCTGAATGCAAAAATAAAATAACGACAGCAACTAAAACAGAAAATAGTAATAATAAATAAACAAGGACACTTAAAATGTAACTATAGTATGGCCCCACGAAGAAGAAAAACGAGTCAGAAGAGTCAGGTACATACTGGGAAGGTGAGTCGTGTGTGCAGTGACGTCAGCAAAATATCAGAACTCTGAAGAAGGGGCAAGGGGTGCATGAGCCACACTGCTGAGATCTCAGTCATGCAGAGGATTTAAGAGACAGCGTTTCAGTCAGAGAGCAGGCAAGAAGCTTGCAGGAGGAAAATCTCCATTTCAAACTGCAAATCCAGCAAGTCAGTCAATCACACCCTTTAAGTATTCATGGGTTTGCTCCATACTCAGGAAGCCTCCATAACACACTACCCCATCCAAGTCTTCCACAGCACAAGCTCCCTGGCTCCACCATACCATCTAGCCTGCTTTATCCCAGCATTCCACTCTGAGTCTCCCTAATGAGCACCAACACAAATCCCAGCAATACTCGTAGGATACATTTGGAGCAGCACACTGCTACATCTGCATAAAGCTTTCTAGGAACCAGAAATGGATTTTTTTTGCCTGATACAACCACCACCAAATCATTAAGAGATCCAGTCAGCAATCATAAAATCACAGAATGGTTTGGGTTGGAAGGGATCTTAAGGATCACCCAGTTCCAACCCCTGGGCAGGACTTCTTTCCTGCCCATGGTGGGACACCCTCCATAACCAGAACTTGGACATCAAAGCTTTTTCTATTTATCTGCGTTCCCCTGCAATGCAGATGCTGGGTTACCAGTGAGACCCATTCAACTTCTTTCACAAGTTCTCAACGAGATCACTTAAGGAATTATACTGTAGCAAGGCTGTGGAAGATGGATGTAACCACCCTGTCCTCCCAGCTTTTCTCTAAAACCTAACCCCCTCTGCCCAGCCTGATCACTGGAGAGCTCACAGGCCTGTTCACACCATGGTGTGCAGCACCGCCTGGAGAGACCAAGGAATAACTGATCCCAGAGGCAAGTTGGGTTCTGTGCATTTTGGTTGTGCTGGCACAGTATTACTATGAAGAAACGGATTCGTGCTCTGTCCTCATTTCCACCATCCTTAGTTATGTAATTGCACTGTGGTCCTGCTATTTCCTAATTCCAGGCAGAGCTCTCCAGAAATGACTATGGGACTTGAAGGGCATTCTGCAAGTTGCTACATTTCCCAAACTTCTGTGCCTCTAACACTACAGTGAGGATTGGGTTCCGAGCCTCCATCTTAGCCAAAGATATTTTGGATTTTCAAATGCCACGACAGCAGAAAGCTGATGAAGTGCTGAGACTTGTGCTGTGCTAGTAGCCTGGCCACTTTACAGAGGTACTGTTAAAAAAAGTTAAGTTGCTGCTTTCTTTTCTGAGTAAACTGTGATTTTGTCTAAATTTCTTGTGGTATGCATCAAGAAGGCCACTGCTGCAGAGTCCCACAGGCCAAAGCCCATCCATGGAAGCTGGAGACATGCAGAATGGGGACAACAAGCTGAGGGGTTTCTTTTTTTTTTTTTTTTAATTTCCTCTCTGCCTTTACTGCCTCAATGTATTTTACAGGATCAGTGATTCACAACTTTTCCAAAGGAGACCAGTCCTTACATGTGACATATAAAACATATGATGTTCTACAAATTCCAGGCAGAGTGAAGGTAAATTTGATCAGACGCTTTTGAAGTAGAGCAGAAGCTCTGTAAGATATCAGTGGACACATTGTAAGCATGCTCAGCAGAGGCACCAGTGGCTCTCAGACCTGTCACCACGCATTTGTGGAACATCATTCAGAGAGAGAAATTCAGTGGGATCCTGAGCACAAAGACTTTGCAAAGTCTAGACATACAGCTCCTGGGAAATGAGAGTCACCACGTACAGCCTAACCTGCAAACAGCTGCAGTGAGCTGTCAGCTCACAGCACACCACCTGGGCCTTGGGGCTCAGGCCAGGCTTCAAAAGGCAGAGCAGAGCACTCCAAATGGCAGAGCAGAGCATGAGAAGCATCAGGCAGCACCATGGGCTGCTCTAGTGCAGCTGCAATGCTGTGAGGGTTTTGAAAGCCCCAGTGCAGAAGGCAGAGTAGTGATGGTGACAGATGTACCGAAGGTAGACAGTGCAAGTCTAGAGCAGTGACTAGGTATAGGAGGAACATAAGACCTTTAGGCGCAGTGCAAGACTTGGGCAACCAGAGAGGATGAGAAGCCCTTTTTAGTGAAGACGGGAAGGCCAGGACACCAATCAGTCAAAAAAGGACAAACACTGGAGGACAAGTGCAACCCTATGCCTGGCCCCACCTGAGTTGCAGAAGCCTTGCTCTTATCAAGGGGGAGAGAAGGGACAGGTTCTACCATGTCCTCTCCCAAATAAGCTATTAAGAAGTGAAGGATTTCTCTTCTCTCAATCCCTAACTGCCTCCCCACACATCCCTCTCAACTTGGGGCCAGCCAAGTAAAGGAGATAATCCCTGAGACAACCCAGCACGAGGAGCTGTGTCAAATCCTTCCCACACCATATGCCAGATCTGCAGAAGAATATCCTCCCACCTCCAGCACAGCTACCATGGGAGCAAACACACAGGGAGAGGCTGCAAAGGGTTACGGACACAGATTGGTCTCCAGCTTAATGAAAATATGGGACGTTATTGACAGCAGGAGAGTGGGAAACCCTTGCTCTGTGATGATCTAGAAAACCTTGTAGCTGGAGTTGGACTGCAGCTGGCCGAGGTCACTCAGGTGCCAGTGGTCCAGTGTTGGGACGATCTTGGCCCCTATCTGCCCACGTACCATGCCATCAGCGAGGGGGAAGACATTCAGGGAGCTGGGACGTTCCTTCCTGCTAAACAGAAAAACAGAGAGAGAGGGGAAGACATCTGTTAGCCATGTACAAGGTTCTGACAGAAAACAAACACCACACTAGTGTATGTGAAATATTAGTTTCTAGAAATTTGATTGCACTCTCATGGGGCAGCTGTCTGAACTCCCAGCTCCCACACTTGATGTTGGCTGCCCAGTCCCATGGTGCTACTACTAGAGTCATACCTCCTCCTGGGGTGACTTTAAGAGGGAGGGGGTCAGTGACAATAGGCATGACTGACTGCTCCATCAATATAAGACATTTGGAGGAACACAAAAGTGCAGGGAACCACCAGTCAATTTAATTCTCAGTGTCTCTTCTGAGAAACAAAGGTACTGTGGGAAAACAAGCTGCTGCAAACAACTCTCACAACAAAAAAATAAAAGCTCCCATAGCTCCTAGAGATAGTGAGGAATGAGGCTTTAAAGAGTCATCTACATGGCACTTCTGTACATTCCACTCCAAATCTGGTGAGCTCCAACAACAGGAAACAGACAGGTTAGATCACTTCCCATTTTAAGCAAGGGAATACTTGTACTCTTTGATCCTCTCTCTATACCCATATTACACAACTGAAACTAAACAAAGGTATAAATAAATGCATCATGCATATTGCCAGGTGTCTCTAAGTGTATTCTATTCATCCTCTCCTTTCTGGCAATTGCAGATGACTCACTAGCTGCAGGTCTGATTCTGAACAAAAAAGCTGGCATAGGTTTTGAGATCAAGTTTCAGTGGGAGAAAATCTAGAGCAAGCAGTGGAAGTAGAAAGGCTGCAGCAGCAGCTTGCTGAACCTGGCGACTGGTTTGGTGCCAGGGAAGCAGGTCTGCAGGGACAGAGCACACCTCCACTCTGGGAGTATCTCTAGTTGACTCCAGTGTCCCTGCAGAGCTGAACTAAGCTGATTCTCTGTGTGATGTGCACCCACACTGGGGTTCAGTGATGGTACTTCATCTAATCCTGCACGGGGCTTCCACTTATTTGTGGGGGGTGTGATGAAACCTCCCCTTCTGTACCCCTCTGTTAGGAACAGCAGATCCCCTCCCCAGCTTTCCCAGCTTTCCCAGGCTGGGAAACCAGCACAGACACCTCACCTATGATCATGGCAAACAACTGCCACAGGACCCATGGCTCCTGGGACACAGCAAACACACTAACACAGGGGATGGTACACCAGCCAGCTCCTTTAGGAAGGATGGAGGTGGAGTGTCCAGCAGAGGAGACAATGTTTGCCCAACCTTCCCACTCCCGGCACTGCCCAGCCACCACAGCATGCCGTGTCGCTGTGCCAGTGCCTATCTTGGATAGGAAAAAATATCTCCTGTGGCCTATCCTGGATAGGCAAAAAGGGGCAGAAAGGTGTTTCCAGCGTGGCCCAGCAAGCAGCTTTGGGATGCATTTTTCGTAAGAATCTGCATTAAAATCCTCTCCTGAAGACACCAGACTGATACGTGAAAGTTTCATACACAAACTCTCTTAGAAAGAAGCATGCAACCGGATTTTTGAGGAACGCCGCTCAGTGACACAACATCATTAACCTTCTCCCAAGTAACAGGACAGGAGGAAATGGCCTCAAGTTCCGCGAGGGGAGGTTCGGGTTGGATATTGAGGAAGAGTAGATAAGCATTGAAATGGCTGCCCAGGGCAGTAGTGGAGTCACCATCTCTGGAAGCACTCGAAAGGCATGTGGATGTGGCACTCAGCAACATGGTTTAGTGGGCATGAGGGTATTTAGGTGAAGGTTGGACTTGATGATCTTGGAGGCCTTTTCCAACTTTAATGATTCTATGAGTCTATGATCTTTCCACAGATTCAAACCTAGACTTCTATGTGATAAGCATTGTCAGTTTTCTTGTAGCCTTTCCTTTCCACTCAAAAGGCATCTTGATGCTTGTGCCTTTTAAATATTAGCAATCCCTGAAGGTTTAGTGAAAACATTCCACTGTTGTTTGTCTAAATCCCTATTTAGGACTGTAATCTGACAAATACACCTGTGCTCCTACCAGGTCATGATGCCAAAGGACATTTACCTCTGCCTGTCTTCTTATATCCCACTGCTATCATTCCAGCTCGAATGATAAAGTTTCTAACAGGTGGATTTCAAGTTTCTCAATAACATACCAAGCAAAGGCGTCCCCTTAGAGGAAATCTTTACCCCTGGGACTGATCCAAGCACCATAGAAAGTAGAGTCAGTTATGTGTAAGGGATTATAAAGGGATTCAAACCTAGAAATTAGAACTTTATGCCACAAAGACAGTAAATTCCTAGTTTTACAGTTAAATAAATAACTCGAGGGTCCCTAAGAGTCTACTACAAAAAATCTCTCTTTCTTAAGGAGGAAAAAAATTAGGCCTTTTTTTGAGCTGCTTTAATCGTTAGTTTCATATCTTTCCTCTTCTTCAGAGTAGAATGATAGTTTTAAGGGAGTCATGCCTCACAGGTATATGGAGCAGGAGAAAGTTTTCTGTAACTGCAGAACAGTCCTTGACAAACCAGTGGTGCAGCTAGAGTGACTATGCTGGAATGGCCTGACATAACTCACTGGCAGCACTGAGACATAAAAGCTGCCCCAAAGGCGTGCTGAAAGAGCCATTAAATTTCTCTTTAGGTAATCACTGTCAGATTTCTGCTGGGAACCCGCAGCTCATTTCTATGTTCACATGCAAACACACACATATTTATCACACAAGAAGATAGAGGAGCCACTGAACGGACAGGAAACGAGGACTTCACAGTCCTTGCTAAAGAGACAGAACTACAGAGTTTCCATAGCATCAGAAGTTGTAGGTTCTTCAGGAATGGATTTTAACACAGACTGATAAGAAATTTCCTTGCTGAGTTTCTTTGGAAACACCTTTCAGCCTCTTCTAAACCTCCCAAGAAAGGAGAAAGAGCAAACACCACAGCAGAGCTAACTCCAGTTTTGCAGTCCTGGGGTTGGCTACCAGGCTTCAAAGAAATTTAAAGTATTCTAAGGGCTGGTCTAAACTTTGAGTGCTGTAGTAGCCTTCATACACCCAATTCTTTCCAGTACTGAGGGAGTCTTAACACTTGGTTAGTTCCACCTTGAATTACAAGGTGAACAGCACACTCTACATTTTGCAGTAGCCAAAACCTGGGGTCAGGATGTTCTACAAGTAACATCCTAAAGTTTACAAAACATAATAAAACTACAGTTTGTTTGCCAGCATTCAAAGAGGAGAACTGCTCTCTTTGGAGGCTTCAGGCACAGCACTCCCTGCCCAGCACACAGCCAGAGGTGCCTTTGAAGAGGTACTGCTACTGACATACTTGTTCTGCCCCGCTCAGAAAACAGGTATGTCTTGTTCTCTAGAGTAAAATAAGGGAGAAAAAAATTCTTGGGACCCAAGGGAATGGCATGAAACTGTGTCAGGGGAGGGTTGGCTGGATATTAGGAATAGGTTCTTCCCCCAGAGGGTGGTTGGGCACTGAACAGGCTCTTCAGGGCAGTGGGCACGGCCTCAAGCCTGACAGCTCAAGCAGCATTTGGATAATGCTCTTAGGCACATGGTGGGATTGTTGGGGTGTCCTGTGCAGGGCAAAGAGTTGGATTTGATGATCCTTGTGGGTCCCTTCCAACTCAGGATATTCTACGATTCTATGAGTCTATGAATTTAAAATATTCTGAGATGTGAAGTGCAAATGTCCCATCCCAGACATCTGATCCTGTTTTGGGACTGAACTTATGTGTCTTCTACACTTGCATACACAAGGTTCTCCCTGCTGTGTTATCCCAGCTCTGCGGCTCCCTCCACCTCCCCTGAACCAGCAAGTCCAGCACAGGGGCCAGTATACACAGAGAGCAAACACATCAGTACAGTACATTCCAAGCATCACACCGTCACCACTCCACAGCAACCTCCAACACTTGGATTAATGAAATTCAGGTACAGCAATAGGATTTACCTTTTCCTCCAGGACTGACGATGACTGCAGTGACAAACATAACAGTCAAACAGCAGCAATCCCACAAAAAGCGAGACAAAAAGAACAACCATTAGAGAGCAAATGTCATGCGAACATGCATCCTACCACAGACACAGGGTACACATGCACTGCAACCCACACCACATGGAAGTGGGCACCAGACTCATTACTCCTCCTGGATGCCCATCAATACATACCACCCCCCCCAAACGCTGATGCACAAACTTCTCCCCAGTCCCATTTATTTTAAATAAATTCACTCAGATTTGCATCAGAGGCCATGAGAAATTATGCCTGTTCCCCCACCCAGTGCACCAAAATCCACAATCACTGGTGTTCCCCCCTCCAGCTGTGCAGTGACACTGAAACACACCCGTCACAGGTGCTTGTGCACAAGCGCAACAAATACAGAGCTACACCTGCACGCACGCACGCAAACGGCGCAAAGCTGGAAATAAAGGACAAACTCCCATTTCCCACTTGTAGTTCCTACAGACTCAGTTCACAGCCCCACTGGAGGCTTTTCACAGACATACAGTGTTTCTCTCCAAGGACACTAGCAATATGCCACACTTAAAAGAGTAAAAGACTGACTTCTCTAATATGAAGAGGCAATTCTTGATGAAAATTTTGCCCTTCACCCCAGAGAATGGTAGTCTTGTAGATACAACCAGCAACTTTTCACTGTGCAGCTCTTTCATGGAATGGTAATATAAAAAGCTACAATTAATATCAGCTTATTTGAAAGTCAGGGAAGAAAAAGCTCATTAAAAATGGTTCGAAAATCCTTGTGGTTCTCTTCCAAGTCAGGATATTCTATGACTCTATGATTCAAGCTGGCGGGAGCACATAGGACCCACCCTTTAAAAGAGGGTTTGTTTTTGTCTGTGGTACTTTTAGATTTTACTGTATAAGCACTTCCACAGATATTCTTATTTCCAGAAGGTTAAGTGGGGAGGGAAACAAGCCTAACATGCTTATCCCATTCCAGTTGTAATACTAGGATCAGACCATGTTCTGGGAGCTAAGTGTGGACTTCCAGACTGCTAGAGGGAGAAGAGAAGGAAGAAAAATGGTCTGATAAGGGAGATTTTATGAACAGATGAACACCTACAAACTCCCGGTTCTTTTTACACCATGTCCTGTCTAGCTCTCTACACCCCTCATGCATGTCTCTTCTGTCTAGGAAAGCAGCCATCCAGCTATTTTTTTTTCTCAATTGATTCCTATATTTTAGACAATCCAATTCCAGTCAAAACCCAAACACTGCAGGGAGGGAGGAAAATCAATTTCTTGGACATAAGTAGGTTTATTGCGTGACTGACAGAAAGCTTCGCCTGAAGGAACAAGGGGGAAAAAATCCTATAATGGCTAATGCATTTAATTGCTACAGTTTTGATGGCTGTCCCACATACAAAGACACACACACAAACACTTGACACCTCCATCCATTCTACAGATAAACCTTTACATGCTACCTGAGAATACAAACGTGTTTTCCAGGGGCCCCATCAACAGCAGCATCATAAAGCCTCAGTTTCATAACACAATGCACAAAGCTCCTCGTCATCAAGCCTTAAAAAAAGTACCCACAACTCACCCAGAACCCATTAAAAAGAGCTTCTGCTACCACATCCCCAGGGAAAGGTCCTGCTCTGGTTTCTCTCTCAAACACACACACTCAGTGTGTAAGTTCCCAGGTGACACACGTTACATGGAGAGGTCGTGGTCCTACCTTCTCGGAGGGACACTGCCCTCAGTTTGGTTATTTCCCACAACTTGCTGCATCTTGGATCGCTCAATGTGTTCCACGTAGGTCTGGATCATCTGTGAGGGGAGAAAAATGCACGAGGCAAACAGAGAAGAAGGAAAGACTCGTTTTCTGCTTTTGTATAATTTTCTACAGCACTCATTTCCAATTTCCTGGGGTTTTTTGCATATTTCCTTGTCTTTCCTGTTGTCTTCTAAGCTGATGATACAAGCGATGATATAAGAATAATCTGATAGAAAATCTGACAGAAATTGTGGGGGAAATTACTTCAGCTGAATCTCATAACAGAAGATCTGTGAAAGAGCATATCCAAAACCAACATAAAGCATCTCCTGGAGGCTCACTGGTAGTGGGAGACGTGGCAGTGCGGCACTGTGCACAGCATCACAGAACAGCTGAGGCTGAGAAACCTCCTGGGGTCCATCAGGTCCAACCCCCTGCTAAAAAAGGGCCACCCTGAGCAGGCTGCCAGGACTGCATCCAGGTGCTTGTGAATATCTCCAAGGATGGAGACTCCAACACATCTCTGGACAACCTGTGCCAGTACTCATTGTCCTCACAGTAAAATATTTTTTCCTCGTGTTCAGAATGAGTTTTGTGTGTCATGGCTTTAGGTATAGACATGGCTTTAGGTATAGACAAAGAGTTTATTTATTCAGAAATAACGAGGTGACACTCTACCTCTGTGTGACGCTGATGCAGAGCATTGTACTCCTTCTTCATTTCTGATTCACGTTCCTCCAGTCGAGAAACTGCCAAGAGAGAATCCCAACCATCAGCTAACACACACCAGGCTCTCAAAATAAACTATTTGTTAAACAAAGACTATTTTGTTAGAAATTAGTTTATACCTACTGAATAAAACAAACAGAAACAGAATAATGCACGCTGTGGGACCTGGTGTTCATCACAAACTCAGCTCCTGGGTACCTGCACGTTCCCAACCCCAGCAATTCTGTGCAGTAAGTGCAATAAAACCACAGTTTTTCAGCAGTAGCCTGGTGCCCCGTAAGCGTCTTAGTTTGACAGCAATTTAAATTGTCCTCTGGGACTGGCACTTCTGGCTACTAGAGGAGCACAAGGACTGGACAAGACACCAAGGAATTCTGAGGGGAACTCCAGTCAACAAACCATGGCTGCACATGTTAAGGAAGTATTTGTAAAAATAAACAAATAAACAAGCAAATAATTGTGATGGGTTTTATAAGAGGAAAAAAATGAAAGATTCTATTCAGAGAAAAGGAGAAACTGGAAAACAGGTTCCAAAGGCCCAAATCTTGCACCTGGAGAGACTGAGCCTGCCCCACAAAAGAAAAGCAATGCAGTCTCGACTGAATAAGTGTGGATACATCCCATCCTTTAGAAGGCTCAGAAGTAAGGGATAACCAGACATTTCAGGCTTTGTGTAAATTACATTAGTAGTCTGGCCAGTCTTCACAAACGAAGATTTGGGAAAGGTCATTAACCCTTCGAGCCCGCGCAGTGGGTTTTTTAGGTGAGACACAGTGTGCGCTGAACTGAGCCCACCCTTTAATCCTGAGGTTCATCTGCCGGGGCCGAGCGAGCTCGGACGGTGGCAGTGAGGTCCTCAGGATGTAGGTTTGTTTAGAGTGACCTTCTCTTAGATGGATGGCCTTACAGGGCTGACGAGCTCCATCTGCCCGGAGGGGTTCCCTGACCGGGAATCGAACCTGGGCCGCAGCGGTGAGAGCACCACATCCTAACCACCAGACCACCAGGGGGTCCCCGTAAATTACATTAAACCAAAGAAAAAGTATGAAAATTATTTTTAAAGTAGCACTGTATGTGTGTGGAAGGCAATGTGTACAATGTTGTCTGGTGTACACCTTTGCTTACTCTGGTCTGCATAGTTTTTGGTCTTCAGCTCCAACTGTCGAGTCTGAAATTCAAGGTGTTCCACTTGGATTTGTAGTTCTTTCTTCTCCTGTTCCAGTGCATCTTCAAACTCTATGAACTTCTGCACAGGGAAAAAGCAGATAAGGAGGCACAGATGAGGATTACATGTAAAATGGGTTTGCCCTATACGACTTTCCCTTTCTTCACAAAAAATGAAATCTGGGAGAATATAAATAAGACAATAGGAAATAAGACTTTTTAAGTACTGTAATGAGCACAACAGCATTTTATCAAGCCAAAGAGTCTATTTTGTATGAGAAAGTATTGTTATCTTTAATGCATAATTAATATCTAAACTATCATCTTCAGCAACATTGGTCTTCCTGCACAGAACACTGGGCTGAAGGAATGATTTTACAGATATACTCATTTCATGGTGAAAACGCAACAGGAAAATACCTCATTTCAGGGTGTTCTTTCTGTAAACTGTCACTTCTGACCCGGGAGCTTTAGTCACTCCCTGCCACAGGCACCAGCACCCAGAGCAGAGTAAAACACATGAAACATTCCATCCAGCTCTACTGCAGTCAACAGGTATTACACAACTCTTGACAGGAGCTGGAGCCACAGGTGCTTTCATGAAATATTTAAACTAAGAAGTGTCCCTGGGAAGTGAATGCATCTCCATATCTCTGCATATACATGGACTAGCCTGATTCTTGTATGATACGTGGTCACCACGGCTTTTCTGCACAAAACACCAACACAGTCCTGACCCATAATCCATGCTTCTAGGTTCAGAAACGGAGCTGCTTCTAGCACCACCCCTGACACAGACTGGTGGGAAATTGCCTAAGGCTCAGAGAACATGTGCTCTACTAAGCACACACATCCTCTTCCCAGCAAACCAAGCCTGAACATGGTAACACCAGGTATACAAGGACACCAGAGCTATACCACCACCCACAGAACAAGTCCTGGTCGGGCCTTACAAAAACAGAAATTAGAGTCTTGTTACATTACTCCTGAATAGTTCCACCCAAAAAAGCCCGAAGTACAGCATCATCTGTACCAACCAGTCCAGTAATTAGAACACCAACCCATCAGCTGAGTGGCAGGAGCACGGTTGAGGCCAGGGGTAGCCCTGGATCCAGAGCTGCTGAGGACGAGAGGGAGCAGGAAGTAAAGCCAAGAGGACTTTAATCCACCTTTAAGATGTTTATGGACCAAGAGGAGCCCGCAGGAAGTAACTGGGGGCTGCAAGGAGCTCACGAGGCTCTGCTCCTGGCCCTGCCTCTCTCCCTCTCCATCTATTTGCCATATCCTCCTTAGGTCCAGCTCCAACAGATTCAACAGCTGGTTAAAATCATGGATACTGGGGAGGAAAATCCCTCTCTCCCCTCCTCTGTCCTCTGCATGGGGGAAGTGTTCTCTCCACAAACATCGCTGCTCAGAAGGGCATGGAAATTTCAATTTAAAAAAGTAAAGCCTTGTTGTACTCCAAAAGAGACAGAATCTGGTGAGAATCCTTTTTGGCAAAGATTCCCAGGGAAACAAACACATTTAAATGCACAGTAAGATTATTTTTTTAAATTCTGCACATGAACGAATCTGCACAGTATCTGGTTGCACTCTCAGGATAAACCCCATGCATATTCCCTATTGCTTTTACTGGAATTATTAGCAGGGACGCTGGAGCCGTCATTATGAACTGGATCCTCTCCCTGTGGATGACTGAAAGCCACATCACTTATTATTCCTGCAGACTTTTAAAACTGCTCAGTAAATTCCTGGGAGCGGTGACTCAGTTTGCATTCCTACATACCTGTATTTATAGAAACAATCAAACACACTTTAGCCATGTCTCATTTCCCTGCACTTGGTGTTCCACAATGCTTTTAATCTCTAACCGGGCTTTTAACTTTATTCTCCTTCCTCCCCAAATGTATTGTAATACGGGTTTGGTTTTTTCCCCAGCTATGGTTGTTTTGCACAGTATTTTTTATAAATACCAGCAATACCAACACCCTTCTTCCCCTATAAAGGAGTCATCTCAGAGGTTAAACATTTACTTTTTAATTAAATTTTAAGACCATACAAGGGTTTAGATTTTTAAGTAAGTGGTTTTTTCCTCAGATGTCAATTAAACATTGAAATCCCTTAGTCACTTACCCAGCAACCTGTTTTATGGATTTTGAGAGATTTATAAAGCAACATGCTTGTAAATTTGCAAATTGATTATTGAAACTTTTTCCAGAGCAACAATATAATATCATAATGAGTAAAAAAGGAAAAGAAATCCTAATGGACACAGTGACACTGAGCAACAGAGCTGAGAAGCAGCAGTTTCACTTGCTCCATTTGGAGCCTGATGGAAGCTATCCCAACAAAGAGCCTTTTCCTAGTATAATCTCCATCTCCTTGCGGGTTTTTGCAGGAATCACTCTCTGCTAAAGCTCTATTGACGAACCCTTTTCATTACAGGCAAGGGTTAAATCCCCATCCTATCACAGCAGCTCAGCTTTCACCACCCTCCTGCTCCTGTTTCTCCAGCCAGGAGCATGCATCCCAGCCAGGTAGGAATGAGGGGTTTAGCAGCAATAAAAATGAAAGGACGTTAAGAAAAACATTCACAGATTTCTTAACAGTAAATTAGAAAGTAAAAGAAGGTACAAGCCCAATTTTATTCCCATTATGTAGGTCACCTTTAATAGGATTCCCGGATTTGCTACTGCTGTTTTGGCTTAATTCAGAGAAAACTGATTGAAAGATTAAGTGTTCTACAAATGTGGCTCAGTCTTCTTCCTCAGACTTGTCTATTTTGCAACCTAAAAGTAATCAAAGAAACATAAAACTAGAAATCAATTAAACACTTGAAAAGAAAGAGACACAGAGACAGTGACATTAAAAATTAATATTGCCCTAAGTGTTTGGAGGGCAGAGCAGCATTTTGGATAAAAACGCTGCAGAACAGCCCACTTGGTGCTGAGGAGATCGAATGCATTTGTGTGCACGGGCCTGAGGGCTCTGCAGCACCTTGTACCTGCTCCCCCCATCAGGGCCCATCTCACCTGAGCTTCTCCCTGCACATCACAAACTCTGAGAGCTGGAAAAGTCCCAAATCCAGAGTGAAGTTACCAGCCACAGCAGTGGGATAAGAAGGAGAGGATTCCTGACAGGGCTGTGCCCGAGGAAGATGTTCCTGACAGAGCTATCACTGTCACTGCTGCTCATCCTTCTTGGCACCAGGGCATCCAGGCAGGCTTTATTCCCTGCAGCAGACATTCCGTACAGCATCCAGCGAAAGACCACTCTAGCCACTAGAAGCAGCAGAGATTGAACTGACTTTACTCAGAGGTGAGCACAGCCACAAGCACAACTAAGCAATGTCAGAAGTTTGGGGAAAGCAGGCACTTGAGGTTCATGTGAGTTACTCTTGCGAGCAGCAGCCTCCGGAGACAGACAGCAGAGGCAGTGCTTCATGCCCTGCATGATGCTGTGTCACAGGCCTCAAGCTGTGGCTCCTGGCCCACATCACGGGGCTGCAGGTGGCCCAGATGAGCAGCCAGGCTGGCTCCAGCCTCCCTCCTGCCCAAACTCAACCCACCAGGTGTATCCCCAGCACACGGCAAACCCCCTGCCACATGGGGCTCTCTGCACCAAACCTCACCTTCCCATGGTGCTGGAAATTCATTACAGGGCAGGAGAAACAGAGAAAACAAACTGAATAAAGTGTTTTAATTTTTTTTAACTTTTTTTGATTAACCAGGCTCCCAGAGGCAGTCATACTGCCAAGCACATGTTATTGAGTGAATGCAACTCCGTAAATAAACACCCATAGGCATTTCACTTTTTCTGTTTCTTTCAGAGGTGGGATACAATCCTGGCCCTGATCAAGCTGTGGGAATTTCTCAGGAACTTGAAGAGGAATCCAGCTATCACCCCAAACCTTTAAACCTCCTAAAAATAACCAGGCGGAGGGGACACTAACTTGGAAGTCTCCTTCCGATTAGAACATTTTCTAGCTGTAATATGTACAAAAAGCACTAAACTCAGACAAAAGAGAAAAAGAATCCCTCTGGTTTACTCTTGCTTATTGTGTTTTTCATCTGTCTGTGCCCCAACAACCTGACCTAAATGCTGCACAGATGTTTGATGCACAAATATGAAGTTCTGTAGGTGCTTACTCACACTTGCTAATCAGCAAAGAATATTCACAGGAATCAAATCCACACTTCTGGCCTCAGAATAGTAAAATTCCAATAACTTCTGAAAGTAGACACTGCAGATACACTCTTGTTTCATTATAAACATAAATATATTTAACAGGAGCATAGAATCACAGAATGGTTTGGGTTGGAAGGAACCTTAAAGCTCATCTCATTCCACCCCCTGCCATGGGCAGGAACACCTTCCACTAGACCAGGTTGCTCTAAGCCCTGTCCAACCTGGCCTTGGACACTTCCAGGGATGGGGCAGCCACAGCTTCTCTGGGCAACCTGCGCCAGGGCCTCACCACCCTCACAGGGAAGAATTTCTTCCCAATATTCAATCTAATCCTGCTCTCTGTCAGTATGAAGTCAAGTAGGGGGAAAAAAAACCCAAAGAAACAATCAAACAGCACAGCCTTATGGTCTTTTAAAATACATTTTAAAATAACCAAATACACTATCCACAAAGCACTGTGACACAATCTCAATGCCCAGTTTTAAAACTGCATTGCAAATTTGCGGACTGCATTCTTTCACTTTAGTGCTGCCAAGAGGCAAGAAAAAAATCTAGTGCTGGTTAAGCATCCCAGGTTGAGCCTGCTGCTGCAGCTGCCCTTGATTTCATTGGTTTCTCATTCCCAGGGCCAGGTACTGCAACTGGTTTTCCCTGATGGTTTCACTGCATGGAGCTCAGCTCAGACTCTCAGTTCAGGGACTCACAGCTCCCAGCTCCAACTGGATGGAGATGCAGTAAAGACATTTAGAAAACAGAAATAAAATGAACCAGAGAATTCCACTGATGGTTAAGAAAAGGTACTTTTTTTGCTTTCAGTGGGTGCACTGGAAGCAGAAACAGCCCCCACTCGCAGGAGTTCTCAAGGTTGACCACAGTGTTAATACTTTTACTATT